CTGAAACACAAAATCTTGGCCGGATGTCAAACATCCTTCCATCACTGGTAAAAGCGATTCTTCTAAAATTGCCAAATATTTGTTTGTATCCACATTTCCATCAATAAAATGAAGTTTTCCTACTCCTTTTGATGACATACTGCCCCAGACCATAATGGATGCTGGACATTTAACTTTTCTCTTCAGACAGTCAGAATGCTTCATTTTTTTGCGAATAACTCTACTGCGACTGTCACCAACACAAACTTCGAATCGGGCCTCATCATTCCATTGTATTGCACACCATTGTTGAGGTATCCATTGTCTATGTTCTTTAGCCTATCTAAGCCGATTTTACGTTATATCTTCTAACAATATTTCTCACACTGTACCGCGATAAGTCTAACAAAGTTGCAATTTCTGAGTTTGATTTCCCAGAATTAAAAAATTTAATTATCAGTAACCGAATTTTCTCACAATAACCTTTCCTCTACCCGTTTGAAAACCTTAACTACCCAAAACTATTTTAAACGTATTCTGACAGCTGTGATTAATAAAAAAAATTGTCATGGCTTTTCTTTTTCACAGCCACCTATGCGTTATAGACTGCATTCAAATGAAAATAGGTTGATATCCTGTAATTGCAACATGTGTTATTTTTATGCTGCAAATTTGATTAGGGAGTAATAAAGTTGGTGTTTTCTACTATATATTATCAAAATATTCATAATATTTTAAACCTATAACACCCTGCTACATTTTTATTATTTATGTTTGATAAGAAAAAAACTAAGATTTCAATATTTGGGCCAACTGAAGTGGGAAGGGGCTCGTAATTGTTTTTGATGTACAGTAATGGACAAAAGTATAATAGACAAATTAATATTGTGATGAATTTCTTTTTTAACTTGTTTTATTAATACACCAACCTGTATACATAATTCGTTATAGCATAATACTCACTTATACATAAATAAATTCATTAGACTCCCTTCAATAAAAAACTAATTGAAAAAATCTGGAACTATGAAGGACAAAAATATACACCTATAGACAAAGCAAAACAATTATAGAAAAAAGAAGCAAAGTTCATTGAATTATAGAAAACCAACCTTGTTTGTGTTAATATTTTGTAGCATAGCCATTATTATCAATCACCGCCTGGGATCGTCTCGGCATAGATTGTAGAAGTTTCTTGATATAAGATTCATCAAATCTGTCTCCAATTTTGCTCTAAAGCGGCAAAAAGTTCGTCCTTGTTTGAATAATTTTTATCTCGTATTCGCTTATCTAAGTATTCCCATAGTTTTTCAATGGGGTTTATATCGGGAGACTGTAAGGACCATTTGAGAACTGGTATTTTTTCATCCAGAAAGACTTTCTTTGTGAGATTTGAAGTGTGCTTCGGGTCATTATCTTGCTGGAAGATTTATCTTAAGGGCATATTGTCTTTCATATAGGGTAACATGACATGCTTTAGTATGTCTGTGTACACAGACTTATCCATAATGCCATCCATTCTATGTAAAGGTCCCACCCCAAACCCCGAAAAGCACCCCCAAACCATAACAGACCCGCCTCCATGTTAACTTCAAATCATTTAATCTTCTACTTATAGTTTTCGTAGAAACACTGACAACTCCTTTTGACTCGATTTCGGCTTTTATTTGTCTTGGGGGTTTTAAACGGATCTTTGGACGAAATTACTTTTATTAATCTAAGTGATCTAGCATTTAGTTTTCTAGACCGACCACTTCTCTTAGAGGCTTCCAAGATACCTTTTTGTTTATATTTGTTCAATATTGCCCAAACTGCTTTACGCTTCAGCTTCAAATTTTTGGCAATGTCGACTTGACGTTGACCATCTTTGTATAACTCAATGATCTTAGTTTTCACATCGAAAGAAATTTCTGGACCACGCGGCATGGTCTTAAAATCACTCAACTTATTCCACAATACTTGATGAACACAAACTAATCCTCTTCTGACACGAAAGTGTACTAAACTAATGTTGAAAAGAATTTGTCTACATATTTTTCTCCCTCATTAAAAAGTTCTTATATTCAGACTTGTATTGTGTTGTTCATTGCAGATAATGTGAAAACAAAGAATCTAGTTTTTCTACTAATAACGCATTTGTTTATGGAGCAATGGAGTATGAATTCGTTTTCTAAAGGTATTTAGGAGGTAAATATTCATATTTGTCTACAGGGTGTTTCAGTTTATTGTTGCATAACTTTAAGATTCGATAGAACTTTTAAAATTAATGCATAAAGTCTATATAAACATGGGTCGAAAAATGCGTGGCTTCCCAAATACAGAGTGTTTAAATTTACTTTCTAAGATTTATTTCGAACAATATTTGATGTATAACAGTGAAAATTGGTATGCAAGGGTTTTTTGGTACGACAAAACGAACCATAGGCATAGTTTTACTGTAGCCGCTACAGGGCGCTCTCTACTGTACCTATAGTTTATTAAAATGACCGAAAAAATTTTCTTAGTGCAATTTTTTGCTTTTTGAATAAAAAAACTGATTCTTCGCACTTTTCAACATAAAAAAGGTCTTTTGTGAATTTTCGTTATAGTTAGACGTTTTTGAGATATTTCGATTTTTAAGGTTCGATGCATTTTTAATTATTTAAGATAAAATAACGTTAAAAACTCAGTATCTCGATAATTTTTAGAAGTAGGCTGTGCCTGCAAATATTTTTGAAATTGAAAGCAGAATAAGGTTAAACGTCAATTAGTTGACAGTTAGTTTTGTTGTCTGTTGAAACCTGAAACGTTTTTTTGCAATTGTGAATGCACGAAATTTAGTTTCTTTTACCTGTTTTTTTGTAAGTTTTATAAAAATGCCATTTTTATTCTCCAATCAAGAGTTAGCGGATATTCATTTTGTGTATGGCTTTGTAAATGGAAACGCATCAGTAGCAGCCAGAGAATACGCACGAAGATTTCCAAACAAACGACATCCAACTCGCTCAGTATTTGTATGAGTGCATCGCCAAATAATTGAAAATGGTTTTGGAAATCTCCAAAGGGATCAAAACATAAATGTTCGTCAGCGCAGATTTACCCGTATGATTCTGCGTGAGTTTGATAGAGATCCGACCACAAGTCTTAGGAGAGTTTCTGGTGCCTTGGGAATTTCAGCAAGCCATCTTCACCGTGTTCTTAGAAATGACCATAGACGTCCTTACCATTTGCAATCTGTGCAAGGACTACAGCCAGGGGACGGAGAACGAAGAATCACATTTTGTCAGTGGATTCTTGATAGCACTGATAATAATAGGGAGTTTTTTAATTAACGTTTTATGGACCGTTGAGTCATGCTTCACTAGGCGTGGAGTGGTAAATTTTCATAATCAACATATTTGGTCGCATGAAAATCCGCATGCAGTTCGGGAAAGAAATTTTCAGCATGAATTTAGTGTGAACGTGTGTATCTACCGTAATCGACTATTTGGACCCTACCTTTTGCCTGCAAGGTTAAATGCTGCGACCTTCTTGGAATTTTTAAAGGCTGAACATGCAAATATGTGGGATGATGTTATGTTAGATTTAAGAAGATTGGCCTGGTTCCAGCTTGATGGTTGTCCAGCTCATTATTCGAGAATAGTTAGAAACTGGCTGGACGAAAATTATCCAGAAAGATGGATCGGTCGTGGAGGACCAGTCGCCTGGCCTCCACGATCCCCTGACGTAAATCCATTAGATTTCTTTGTGTGGGGATTTCTAAAAGAAAAAGTGTACCAGACTCCCGTAACCACAAGAGATATGCTAATAGACAGAATCAGGAATGCATGTGATGAAATAAGGCCTTATTTGAATAATGCTATACCACGTTCGATCATTCGTAGATGTGAATTGTGTATTGAAAAATTGGGTTTACATTTCGAGCAACTACTTTAGATTTTGTATGTTTGTCCTAACTATCCAATAGCATTTTAGTTGTAAATAATTAATTTAATTGGTTAATAATAATATTTGAAAATTAAACAAATTAATATTCTGTTTTTTGTGTTTATTTGGAGTTAGGAATTATTGCTCTGTTTAAAAACACAATCTAAACGATCATCTTAATTACATGTAATGCCCAAATCGAAAATGTAAAAAAAATATTATTTTCCCATAAATAATTAAAAATGCATCGAACCTTAAAAATCTAAATATCTCAAAAACGGCTAACTATAACGAAAACTCACAGGAGAGCTTTTTTATGTTGAAAAGTGCGAAGAATGATTTTTTTTATTCAAAAAGCCAAAAATTTCACTAAGAAAAAATTTTCGGTTATTTTAATACACTACAAGTACAGTAGAGAGCGCCCTCTAGCGGCTACAGTAAAACTATGCTCATGGTTCGTCTTGTCGTACCAAAAAATCCTTGTATACCATTTTCACTGTTATACATCAAATATTGTTCGAAATATTAAAAAAAAACTATTTTAGAAAGTAAATTTAAACACCCTGTATTTCGGAACCCACGCATTTTTCGACCCATGTTTATATAGACTTTATGCATTAATTTTAAAAGTTCTATCGAATCTTCAAGTTATGCAACAATAAACTGAAACACCCTGTATATACTTTTGTCCATTACTGTATATAAATGACATTGTTAATATAGCTAGAAAGTGTGAAATCTATGTAAGTCTTTGTATACTTAATGTCTCTTATTAGTTTTTCCTATCTACGACCTATGGGAGCATAATAATTAATTGGGAAATACAAGTTTGTTCACTTTGGGCTCCGATAAACCGCGTTGTGGGGGCCCGACGCACATTGCGTCGTGTGCGTCATCTTAGATTCGGCAGTGATCAAAACATAATATATCATTGTGTCAAACAAGTACCAGCTGACGCGAGGTGCGCGTGCGCTCCGCCACAGCGTGGTATATATCTAAGCCACTATTTACACTTAGCAGTAACAGGGTTTCAGAGGATGGAGAGCCAATGAGACATAGGGTCCGCTTTAAGGTACTTTCTTCTACATATTTTCATTTGATATAATTTGTTTTAGGGCCACTAAAGGACTTTTGCTTGCAGCAGAAAATCCATGATCCAGAATTTACCTTAATATCTGAGGTTGGACCACCACACAATAAGGAGTTTACATTTGAATGTAAACTAGGCTCAATCATAACTAGAGCAACTGCCGCAACTAAAAAAATGGCCAAGCAACTTGCAGCTAAGGACATGTTTGACAGGTACTGCATATGAATTATGCACTCCTCCCAGAGAGGGGATAATTTGAAAAGCTAGAGATCGAGGGTACTAAAGTTTATTGCCAAAACTGTTGACAGCAATGGAATGCGAGGAATATCGCCCACTTCTTTGAGGCCGTCCGCAGTGGCGCGAAGATTTACACTTCGGAAAGGGTTAAAAACTAGAATTCACGTCAACATTTTGCAACACTTCTCATCAATAAACTCACCACGGGAAAGTGGCTACATATCGAGTCCCGTCCCTCCCTTAGCCCGTCTTTCATTTTCAACAGAATGCAAAATAAATATGATTAATTCTAAAACTCAGAAATACAAATCACAAAAATAAAAATTGATGAAACTGAAAGACGCACAAAAATTAAACGCTAAATTCTGATTACTCAAAAATTAAAACCAAACATAACACAGTCGTTATTTAATGTAAATAGGTGCAAATATAAATAAATTAAATGAATAAATTTTCAATTGAACAAATGGTAGTCAGCTGCGCTGCGGTTTTATGACTCACCATTATTCGAGCAGGAACTGTCACTTTTAGTGCTGTCGCTATCATTGTCGTCATTTAAGTTAATTATCATTGGTTCGATTATCCACTCTATGGAATTGTCCAATTGCCAGAACTTTTCTTCTTCTTTTACTAATAATTAATAGCCTTTCCCAAAAGAATACAAACATCCACCGTCTTAACCCTTAACCCGCGAGGTTGATTAATTTAACGTTAATCGCGAGTATCGGTATGTGATACCGCTTTAGATTTTTACATATAAAATTAAAAGCATAGTGTAAATATTTGAAGGTTTTATTAATTTTTTTACAAAATAAAGCAAAACAAAAAAAATTAGCTGAATAATAATGACATTCTAGACAAAAGGTTGCTAGTTTTCAGTGATCTTCTTGGTCGGCGACACAGTTCTTGCACATTTTGCTGGCATGCTCGAGGCAAATCGGTTGCTGACAAGAGTAGCATTTGTAAAACGTCTTTCTCTTCTTCTGGTATGGACACAAAAACCAAGTTTTCTTCACTGCTAGCCGCTCGTCTCTTGACGTTGATGGTTCGTTCCTAAGATCGTCGACTCCAAGAGCGCCTTTGATAAGAGCTTGAAGTTCTTTGTTCAATTTTGGATTTTCAAACCTTTTTGCCATATGAGGCTTTACGAGTTGCATCGCTAGTTCTTCAATAAACACGTCTGGATTTTGGTGTAATGTCTTTGTAATAAAGAAATAAAACGAATGCATTATTGGTAGATATATCTATAAAATATTGCTAAGGGCCAACGACGAGTACGACGGTCGGAAGAATAATTTCATGTCGAGAGTATCAACGCCACCTTTAGTCGCATTGTGAAATGATATTATTTCAGGAAGAGCGTTTTCGGTGTCGGTTGCTTTAGAATGATGGGCTGAAGACACCAATAATACAGCTTTATTTTTTTTGGAACGTGCGATATTAGTGTGAATGCATCATTGGAGAACCCATATAACGTAGATACAACTGGTCGTTTGGGCGATGGTAAAAATTCTGGAGATATCTCCCGCTTGTTCTTCGTCAATGTCCCTGTGTAAATTAAGCCTTTTTTGCGTAACTGATGAAGCAGCTCTATTGAGGTAAACCAATTATCAGCAGTTATGTTTCTGTTTGTTTTTTCGATAGGCTTGACTAACCGAAGAACTGCCTGTGTTGGCTTCTGAAATTTCCTTTCTTCGTCGGGTAATGTTTTTCCATCACTATCTTTACCTGTGTAGATATAACCGTTGTAGAAATAACAGTTTCGAGCATCCGTCAGACATTGTAATTTGAGACCATTTTTCGCGGGTTTGTTAGGCATGTACATTTTAAAAGAGCATCGCCCTCGGAAACTGATTAACATTTCGTCGATGCATGTTGTTGGACCCAAATTGAAGCATTTTTGTGAATTATCGATGAAACGGTTGAATAGAAAGGATATTGCCGCTGCTGAGTCCTCCTGACACCGTTGGACGCTAGTGGAAGCATCATCAAACCTTATACATTTGAGTAACTTTTCAAATCTTTTGGAAGAAATTACTGCTCTGAATATGGGACGACCTGTACACGTATTTGAAAATAATGATAGCATATTTTTATGGTTCGACCGGAATATAGATGTTAGCATAAGAAGACCGATAATAGCTCTTATTTCAATAAGGTTAGTATTCTTGTAATCTGTGGTATTAGAGTTCTTGTGGGTAGATCTTACTATTTCCAATTTTTCATTTGTTCGCAATACGATTTCATTTAGCGTCTCGTTGTCGAATAAAAGGTTCCAAATTTCACCAACATCAGGACTGTTCCCCAAACGACTTGCTGCTGGTTTAAGACTGGGCAATTTGATTATAATGTTATGTTTGGGCGTTCTTAGAGCTTTATTGGGTTCTTCGGACTTCCAAATATAACCGTTTTTACCTTTATAACTGACTACACCTGTAACATGATCACTTTGCACATTATCGCGGCTCGAATTCGAATCTTGGTCTACCGACTCTATTTCTAATTCACTGTCCTCTTCTTCATGATCTGAAGAAACATATTCTTGCTGAAAAGTGGAAGAACTATAATTTCATCTTCCTGCAATGTTTCGTCATTGGAAACTTCTAAATCAGAAGAGTCTTTTTGTTCGTCATCAGATTCCAATTCATCGAACCATTTTCTGAGCTTTTGCTCATAGTCTTTGTCACCAAACTTTACTCACTCTAAGCCAGATGCCATGATCTGAAATAAAAACAAACTTTGGGAATTGATTTACAAAATCACTGGATTCGAATATAATATGTTATTACTATAACGCAAATTTTGGAAAAAATAAATACCATAATAACGTATTCCAGAATACGAAATATTAGCATACAGCTCTCATACTCAACTCTGTGAAAATTTATTTTTTTACGCACAAATATATATTGAATCACATAAAATATTTTGTACTAAGCACTACTATTTATTTTTACCTTCTGAACTGTGTTTTTTTCGTTTTAGATACCAAGCCATTTTTCACCTAAACAAATAAAAATAAGATAAAAAACTTACCACGACTCAATCACACATAAACACATAAGATCCAATAAAACTAATATTTCCTTGACTGGACGTGTATCCAAAAGTTCTACGCTATACGCGACAATCGGTATGACGGACCGCCAGGCTTCAAAGTATCACTTCCGCAAATCGGTTTTGAAAATACTAATTACAGCGCCGCTTTTCCCAATTCGACATCACACCATATACAGAAGGTAGGTGGGGGCTCAAGGTCATGAGTTAATTCTGACCGCAGTTATGGAAGGTTGAATTTTGAATAGCGGTACAGGATACCGTGCTCGCGAGTCAAGGCTTAAAAGTAGTATTCTTACGAGCTACCTCGTTGTTTATTTGAGCCCATATCAACTCGATTGGGTTGAATGCGCAGTGTTACGGAGGTAATCCCAAAACCGTAAATCATTTTTCCTTTTCTACTCCATCTACCACTAATCACGTGTATCTATCCTTGTGGTGACGAGCGATTTACATCAACTCTGCTTTGAGCATCGATAGGTCGCATGGTATATTGTTAGACACTAGCCAATTATACATTTCTAACTTTCTCCATTTTGAAGTGGGAAGATTTTCTGTACGTCGACTGTGATATGAAGCATTATCTAAGACAATCACAGAATCCGGTTCTAATTTTGGCGCTGCTTTGAACCAATCTTCAAAAACTTGTGTGTTCATATCTTCATGATAATCTCCAGTTCTTCGTGATTCGAATACGCTCAATCCTCCATCCACAAAACCAGAATCACTACCATTATGATTAATTAAATGACGACCCTTACCTGCAAGGCGTTGAAAGCCTGTACTTAATCCGTCACGATACGATTGTCTACAAGATGTGATGTTTAGATCTTGCAAATATTTAGAAACTGTGTAACCTTCATTCAATCATGTCTCCAAATAATAAATCGTATGTCTTCCCATTACGCGAATACTACGTATTGTATTCATATATACCCTGCGCCAGGTTATTATGTCATCCCTCTCGATCAACGCGATATTCCTCTTTTTCTTCAAATATATTAATTTTTCGTAAAGTTCTTAGCAAAACACGCTGGGATATTTTTGGTACTACTATCGTCAGTGTTCAAAGCGTGCTGTTGTTTTTTTATTGTCGGTATTTCTCTTCTCGAATAAAACGAGTGCACCTTCTGACGGATTGCGTATTTAACATCATCTTTTAAAACCACTCGTTTACGTCCCTGTATTTGCTTTTTTTGATACCAACGAACACACATTACGTATTTTCCTCTTATAATTCTTAAAGTGGTAGATACTGATACCTTTGCCATGTCGCTACGAAGTTGAACAGTATCTCTTACTGGTTGCTCTGAAAATCGTGTTCGGAGTGCGCCAAAAACATTTTTCACTATATTTCTTCCTCTAGACTCTAGAACATGAATTATGCCGTTGGAGTTTCCATTGCGTCTGTCTTCCGTGATCCGTGGATTTTCAACAGTCCCCAACTCACCTACCTTTCCGTTATCCGCGCCGCAGACAAAAAAACGGTGCACGGGAGCTGCCTTTGTACGTCGGCAAAATGTGTGACGATGTTGCCGCGTCTTTTTTTAAATCACACTGTTGCTGTTATTGTGCGCGTCTAACGACAGTACAGCGCTAAAGCCTGGTACTTTTGATAGATATCGCTTGAAAAATAGGTCAAAAGTCATCAAGCAGCTTTAACGCTGTACTGTCGTTAGACGCACACATGATCATTATTTCATTATCAAGACTTCAACTCGTATCTGGTAACAGACTTTTTTGAAATTACACGCACAAATAAAAATTATTTTGTTTCGGAAATCTTTGAAATATTTGCGGAATACTCAAAATGTGTCAATTAATTTTGAAACTTGTAGTCGGTTGCTATTTTAGGTGTTTCTATAATCCTCCCACACATTTATACCAACAAAAGTCGTTTACCTAAAGTTCATGTACCATCTAACTTACTTCACTTTATATGTATGAATGCTATGCATCTAATCATGGAATAAATTATATCACCTCTGCATTTTAGCATTTTAAAATGTACCTATGCTTTTGATCACATTAGATTTAGTGTACTATTTTTTTCTATATATTACATGATTTCTGATTGGTCTAGGAGTGCCTTTAAAACCAAAATTCACTCGGCAACGTTATATTTATAAGCGCCTTGAAGGATTCGGTGTTGCCGTCGAATGGATGTTTGAAAATATACTAAGTGACATATAAATCCGAACACCCAGTTTAAATGGCTTTATTTTAATAAAATTTTGTATAAGTACTTAATGAAGCATAATAAGTAAATGATAAAAATTTCAAAATGATTGCACTGCTTTAAAGCCCTTTGACCTTTAATACTGTGTGGATGCACCCTGATGTGTTACGCATTCTCCAACGCGCCTAGGCATGCTTCTGATAACGCGCCTAGGCATGCTTCTGATCAGGTGGTCAATGTCCTCCTGTGGTATCTCATTCCAGGCAACCACCAACTCCTCTCGAAGTGCTTCTAGAGTCTGAGGAGGACATTGCACCCATCATATCCCACACGTGCTCAATTGGGGATAGGTCGGGAGATCTTGGTGGCCATGGTAACAATGTGACATCATTATGTTGAAAGAAGTCTATTGTGACTCTTGCAACATGTGGTCGGGCATTATCTTGTTGGAAAGTTGGATCTGCCAGGGTGTCAAGATAGGGTAAAAGATAGGGTTCTAGAACTTCGTGGATATAACGCTGCGCGTTCATGTTACCTCTGATGAAGATTAAAGGGGACCTGGAACTATAAGCTATAGCACCCCAAACCATAACTCCAACAGTGTGATGAACATGTCTTTCAACAAAAAACTGTCACGTCGCCTTCTAACCCTGGCACGACCATCGTGCATGCCTAAACAAAATCGAGACTCGTCACTAAAGACAATACTGTTCCATTCCTAATCCCAGAGTGACCGTTGTCTGCACCACTCAAGGCGATTACGTCGGTGTTCTCGAGTTAAAGGGAGGACCCAGTGTGGCCGGTATGAAAACAAGCCAAAACTTCTCATTCGTCGGTAAACACTTCGCATGCCAATAGGTCTTCCGTATTCTGCAAACCATTCATTTGCAATGGACCTGGTAGTGGAGAAACGGTCCCTTAAGGCCAATAATCTTCGGCGGCGATCTTCACGATCTGTTGTTCTACGGCGGCGTCCAGTGTCCCTTGCTCTTTGCGTACGGCCTTCTCGAAGCCATGCCTGACAACACTTAACCACAGTGTCTACACTTCTTTGCACTGTAACTGCAATTGCCCGAAAAGAAAGTCCAGCTTCCCGAAGTCCCACTATACGGCCCCTATCAAACTCACTAAGTTGACGAAATCGTACAGGTCTCCGTACTCTAGGCATCGTAACCGATCGTAAAGGATGTCAAGAACCAAAATCCGCCAACGTTGATTCTTTACTGCGGCTGAAATATTCATTTTTAGAGCGTTAGTGAATTAAAAAAAAGCAGTATATCAACCGCAATGTCCAACTGATAAGGCTGAAAATTTGTTCACTTGTTATTTACAGTAAGATAAATACATTCACCAACTTTTATTAAAATAAAACCATTTAAACTGGGTGTTCGGATTTATATGTCACTTAGTATATATAATATGCAGTTTAATAAATATACTAAAAGATTACCCAAACGTTCAGTCTCAGCTTATGCATGTGACCCTTTTAGATGAATTTCCATATGAACACGTGATAACAAAGGCTTGATATCAACAGTTTCGGTAATGCACTTTAATAGGTTGGAGGAGCCTAATATTATAAACGGACAAAGAAAGTCAATTGCTGATCAGCTGCTCGCGCCAATAGACGTCAAAACGTAACGCCACTTTTCCATAAAATCTTTATTTTTTCCATGTACTTTTGACAGTTTGACCTCCAACCACACTAGCGTTTCCTAGCGGGAACAAAAATGGGCATTGTTACCATTCTTTGCCTAAAATAATATTTCTTCATTCAATTAGAAATTACAAGCCTTCGAAAAAGTTAGTAATACTCAACCTGTTATTTTATGCTCAAAAATTCTCCTTAGTTTCTATCAATGCATAAATTATAAGCCTTATTATCTTAAGCTCAAAGAATTCTTTGTTCATTATACTTGTAGGAAACATAAGCTTAAAAAATTAGAGTTTTTTAAGAAACTGTGTGATTATACGTAAATAAATGTGTTTTTATAGGTTAAAAGAGGTGCTACCAACGATCTTAGAAGAATATAATAGATCCCAAGAAGAACATCAAAAATGTATCACCTCTACATCAACACAAGTTTTGAATAAATTCAACCAACTTTATGGTGGTACAGTTTTCAACAAAACTGTTAAAGTAGAAGAGTATCCTATGACATTACTAAATTTGATGGTTGAAAGAGAAAAAAACATCGCAGACTTTGAGAAAGTAAGTTGATCTATCACGTTTATTTTTTTTACGAAACGCGCATTCTACGAGGCTAAGGGACCATTCAAGTACTACGAAAAGGTACATCTACACGTTCAAACAATTTGTAGATCTTTGCGTCCGTTCCCCTGACAGAAAATTGGATGTCATCAAACATGAGCAAAGCGTAAATAATACTTGAATGGTCCCTAACCCGAAAAGTAGAGTCTGCTATTTTTACTGTTTTTTAAAAGTACACAAAGTATTTGTTTTCAATAAAATTATACATCATTAGTTCTACCAGAAGGAGACATTTAGGCAAGATGAATAAATTAGATAGAGCGATCACACTAAAACCATGTGTAGTTGGTACTTAGCCAGACTATATGTATACGTAGTCGTGCCATAAGTTCTGTCCCATGATAATCTCATGATAAAAATGAAACAAGATAAGATATATTTATATGAAAGATATTATTTATTCGACAACATTTTTAGAATTCATAATCAAACAGTTTTATTCAAAATGTCCCCCCTTGGCCTTCACACACTGCTTCAATCTCGCGGGCCACTCATCTATCACTGCACGCACAGCTTCCAAAGGAATAGCTGCCGCTGATCGGATCAAATCCGCTTTCAGGGACTCGATATTACGGTGGGCTTTGGAGCAGGCCAACTGCTCTAGCAGGTCCCACAACTTGTAGTCTAAAGGATTGAGGTCCGGACTCCCTGAGGGCCAATCTTCCGCAGCAATGAACTCTGGCACATTGCTTTCCAGCCAGCGCTGCGTACTCTTAGCCTTGTGAGCGGGGGCGGAATCCTGCTGGTAGACCCAGTGTTGGTTGGAAAACAATGTACCACTTAAAGGCTTGACGATAGGATCCAGTATGTCGCTCTGATAGTTTGCCGCTTTTGTTTTCACGCCCTGTTTACAGAAATGGAGCTGAGTGACCCCTTCGTAGGACACCCCCCACCAAACCATGACTGACGCAGGGTGGTGGCCTCTCTCAACTCTCGGAATGATCTCCGAAGCTTCCTGTGAACTCCTTGCATACACTTTGTCATTTTGTCGGTTGAATTTTTCTTCTATGGTGAAGATTTTCTCATCCGTGAACAAAATCTTTCGGAATCCCCCAGCTGCGTACCTCTCCAAGAGCTTCTTGGATCTTGTCGCCCTGATGTGTCGCAAGGTGGCCGTAAGTCGCTGGCCCGTACGTCTCCGGTAAGCCCCTAGCCCTAGGTCTTGTTTAATGATGCGCGACATCGTCCGGACAGGAATCTTCATTTCCCTGGATAGGATCTTCTGCTTCCGGAGTGGATTCCTTTGAATCCTGGCTTTTACGGCTTTGATGGCTGCTGGAGTCCTTACTTGACGAGGTCTTCCGCTTCTTGGCCTGTCATCAACAGAGGACGTCTCATTGTACCGCTGAATGGTCTTAGACACAAATTTACGCGATATTTGAAGGCCGCGTAAGAGTTCAAAAATCTGACTAGCACTGTGATTACACTTATGTAAAGCTATCACTGCAATACGGTTCTCTGCCTTGCCCCACTCCATCGTTATGCTTCGAGAGATCAATACAAACTGAGGTATATGTAATTACCCGAAAAGCGCTTAATCAACTGACACCACAATGTAAACAATCGGACAAGTATTAACAGGTCTACACTTGTTTGAAAACGAGGGACAGAACTTATGGCATGACTACGTATGTTACAGATTAAATATGAGAACTGTAAATTAAGTGATGAGACTGTTTTTTTAATTGACACCCTCAAAATAACTTCCTTCTGACGTCACACAGCGCTGAAGATGGTTCTGTCACTCCCCATAGCAGTGCTTTAACATTCGGATAGCTTTCATCTGGTTGGTTACAGCCATTTGAATCTCTCGAAAGGAATTCCCTTGAGAAAGAGAAAAAAGTCATAAAGACTCGAATCAGGCGAATATGTAGGCTGGGGAGCCACAGGAATGTTTCTACTGGCCAAAAATTCGTTTATTGACATTGCTCCATGACAAGGAGCACATTATCGTTATGCAACACCTAGTTGTTCTTGATCTGATGCAACGGTGGTGTGAGTCATACTTAACTCTTCCTCAATCGTTCTGACTGCCAACTGACAATCTGAACACACAAGATCTCGACCGGTTCTTCCACCGGTTCTTGAAGATGAAGGCCTTCCGCTTCGTGGTTCATGTTCAATCGATTCTCTCCATTCTGAAATCGCCGTGAACCACCGAAAAACCTGGACTCTTGGCAAAACACTATCTGGCCTGCTGAAGTTTAGCAAGAGTTCCGTTGTACTGTGCCCACGTCTAAAGCAAAACCTAAGCACACCGTTGCTTGAAGTTGATGTCATTCATTTTTTGAACACAGTAGGAAAAACTGCTTCATAAAAAAAATCGCTACGGACAACCAAATGACTCGAGCGAGTTCAAACTTGTCCTGAAGGCGGATCACATGTTCCCCGGTCTCCCGTCCAAGCCTGTCGCCTCCAGTGTTGCCAGATCGAGCGCTACGTTGCCGGTCTCGTCACTCAATTTACAGACCTCGTATTTATGCAAGTGTATTGATCAGAGCAATCACAAAAGATAGCTACCATTCTAATATTCTTTCAATAAATCCCGTAGTCAATATATTCTTCGAAGCGTAATTAGATCTGGCTATTACACTGATCAACAGCCAAAAAATATCCTAATTAAAATCAACAAAATATTACTATTTTTAATGTGCTAAAACCGGAATGAAACTTATTTTTTCAATATTAGTTCAGGTTTTAGAGATACGGTAATTATATGTGTTCCTGCTGTGACAGTGTTAATATACTGTAATTCACAAGAATGCACGTGCTACATTTCTATATTCGGCAAGGAAAGATGATGTAATCGGCATGATTGTGTTACGTTATACATACGTGTACATTATATTGTTTTATATTAGCCATTTTTTCCTCAGTTGGCTGACAGCGTTCATGCAAGATGTCTCGAAAGTGTGTAAACAATCCAGATCAGTTTTGTTACGTGTGTGGTGATGTGACTTTTGCGTCTCAGAGACGGTCTATTACTCCACTAATAACAAAGGCATATCAGCTTTATTTCGGTTGTAAACTAGGTGATGCAAGACAAACAGTGTGCACCCCACATCTGCTGTAATACATGTGCTTCAAGTCTGAGGAGCTGGTTAAATGGCAAAAAACGGTCTATGCGCTTTGCTGTCCCAATGGTTTAGAGAGAGCCTACAAATCATATTAATGATTGTTACTTTTGCATGGTACCTTGTGTTGCACAAGCCACAGGTATGTCAAAGAAAAAAAATCGGTTATTAACTACCCAAACATACCATCTGCGATGAGACCTGTGCCTCACAGTGACGAAAATCCTATTCCAAAACCCCCAGAATCCTACACTTGCGAATCAGAAAACGAATCAGATCATGGCGATCGAGTGATTCGTCAGGAAGAAGATATGCCATCAACGTCAAGAGATCCTGATTTTATACCGAGCACGTCATGCCACCAACCGCACAAAATAACACAGTCGGAATTAAATGATCTTGTAAGAGATTTAGAACTTCCAAAATGTAAGGCAGAGTTACTTGGATCAAGACTGCAGCAGTGGAACTTGTTAGAAGACGATGTTTCGGTATGTGTTTTTCGTAAACGCCACAAAGACTTAGAACCATTTTTCAATATGGAGAATAACTTGGTCTTCTGCAGTAACATTAACGGCTTACTGGCGGCTTTAAATATAAACTATAACCCATAAGAATGGAGATTGTTTATAGACAGTTCAACATTGAGTTCAAAGGCAGTGTTATTGCATACTGGAAATATTTTACCATCTCTTCCTGTAGGGTATGCAGTTCACATGAAAGAATCATATGACAATATGAAGTACCTATTGACATGCATAAAATACGATGAGCACCAATGGCATATTTGTGGCGATTTGACAGTTGTTGCACTTTTACTTGGGCTGCAGCTAGGCTACACAAAGTTTTGCTGTTTTTTGTGTGAATGGGACAGTCGGGCAAAGGCACTTCATTACACCAGACAAAACTGGCCTGTTCGTCAATTCCTAGAGCCAGGTCAAAAAAATGTACAGCATATGCCATTGGTAGATTCGAAAAAAAATTTATTACCACCACTGCATATCAAGTTGGGCCTAATGAAAAACTGTCAATGCATTAGATAGAGATGGGTCAGCTTTCAATACCTGCGTCAGAAATTTCCAAGACTAAGTGAGGCAAAGGTTAAAGAAGGTATTTTTGTTGGGCCACAGATTCGAAATATTTTGAAAGATACACAGTTTGAAAACACTTTAACAGGTATTGAAAAAACTTCTTGGAATGATTTCCGTCTGCTGGTCACTAATTTCTTGGGAAATAGAAAAGCTGACAACTATAAAACCCTTGTCAAAAATATGCTGTCATCGTATCAAAAGATGGGCTGTAATATGTCTCTTAAGATACATTTCCTACACTCACACCTGGACTTTTTTCCTGACAATTGCGGAGCCGTAAGTGATGAGCACGGCGAACGTTTTCATCAGGATATTTCAACAATGGAAAAAAGGTACCAGGGAAAGTGGAATCCTTCCATGCTTGCAGACTACTGTTGGACTCTTGGTAGAGATGCTCCAGAAACAATCCATAAAAGAACAGCAAAAAGACAGCGCATATAGTGATTCTTAAAAGTATATGAATCTTGTAACTTTTTTTAATATATCCTTAAAAATAAAAAGTTTTTTTCTTAAACCGCAACTAATTTTTTTATTTCATTGTCATTTTTGGATTCAGCGCCCCAAAATTAACAAAGAAGTACACTTTTCCCACAAGATACAATGAAAAAACTAAAATTTGTTGTCCAGTGATTATTAACATGCGTGCTGAGTAAAATGTTTTCGAAAATGAATGTGGGGAATGTACATCAAAAAGACAACTGCTGTTACAGGTTTTTCCACGGTATTTTAGCGGCTCATAGTAAAACGATAAAACTACAGGAATTACTTTTATACATCTCCCTCATACGGCCTCTATGCGCAAACATTTTTTTGTGTAAGCTAGACTTTCAGGGAAAACCAAATATGTTTGACGGCTTGACTTAAATGTGTACGAGAGAGAAGCGCGAGAAGTGTGTATCAAATCACGTTAAAACGAGATGGAAGCCGACTGAAGAGCAAAGGTCATCACGACATTGCCTAGCAGCGGTGACGCAGCCGGTCGTGGAATTTTGCGCGTTGCCAAAATGTTACACCAGAAAATACAATCCAATACTGTATTTTTCACGAGTGTCCATCACAGTAGAACAACAGCTGTTTACCTAGTGATATTAATTTCAAAACGACAAGTGACACATAATGCTGAAAGATCCGTCAACGCCAGGTAGACAGATCCGTATTTTGTTGGTTTTTTTTAGGCTACAGATTCGTTTTATACTTGCTAACGACTTTTATTTAGAAAAGATTATTTGCGTATAAAAAAAACGCTACAAGCAAAATGGCTATTGATGATCATGACTATATTTGAAGTCAGGTAGGAATAAAATAAGATAAACAGGTACTATGTCAATCATCTCTACTTCTTAGAACTTGAAACACCATATGCTTTTAAAGGGCAATGAAATAGCCATACAATCGATTCAGAATGTGTGGCAGTATATGACCGAATTGATAGAGGTTCGATTCCCAGAATTAGATCTGAGCATTAGTCAGGTAACTCTATCAAGTTAGAAATTAGAAAAATGTAAGTAAAATGTAAAACTATACTATACATATAAATCCGAACACCCAGTTTAAATGGTTTTATTTTAATAAAAGTTGATGAATGTATTTATCTTATTGTAAATAACAGTTGAAAAAATTGTCAGCCTTATCAGTTGGACATTCCGGTTTTTATACTGCTTTTTTTTTAATTCACTAACGCTCTAAAAATGAATATTTCAGCCGCAGTAAAGAATCAACGTTGGCGGATTTTGGTTCTTGACATCCTTTACGATCGGTTACGATGCCTAGAGTACGGAGACCTGTACGATTTCGTCAACTTAGTGAGTTTGATAGGGGCCGTATAGAGGGACTTCGGGAAGCTTGACTTTCTTTTCGGGCAATTGCAGTTGTGGTTAGGTGTTGTCAGGCATGGCTTCGAGAAGGCCGTACGCAAAGAGCAAGGGGGCACTGGACGCCGCCGTAGAACAACAGACCGTGAAGATCGCCGCCTAAGATTATTGGCCTTAAGGGACCGTTTCTCTACTACCAGGTCCATTGCAAATGAATGGTTTGCAGAACACGGAAGACCTATTGGCATGCGAAGTGTTTACCGACGAATGAGAAGTGTTGGCGTGTTTTCATACCGGCCACACTGGGTCCTCCCTTTAACTCGAGAACACCGACGTAATCGCCTTGAGTGGTGCAGACAACGGTCACTCTGGGATCAGGAATGGAACAGTATTGTCTTTAGTGAGAGTCTCGATTTTGTTTAGGCATGCACGATGGTCGTGCCAGGGTTAGAAGGCGACGTGGTGAAAGGAGGAATCCACAGTTTTTTGTTGAAAGACATGTTCATCACACTGTTGGAGTTATGGTTTGGGGTGCTATAGCTTATGGTTCCAGGTCACCTTTAATCTTCATCAGAGGTAACATGAACGCGCAGCGTTATATCCACGATGTTCTAGAACCCCATCTTTTACCCTATCTTGACACCCTGGCAGATCCAACTTTCCAACAAGATAATGCCCGACCACATGTTGCAAGAGTCACAATAGACTTCTTTCAACATAATGATGTCACATTGTTACCATGGCCACCAAGATCTCCTGACTTATCCCCAATTGAGCACGTGTGGGATATGATGGGTAGGAGATTGCTCAATTTGCAACGTCCTTCTCAGACTCTAGAAGCACTTCGAGAGGAGTTGGTGGTTGCCTGGAATGAGATATCACAGGAGGACATTGCCCACCTGATCAGAAGCATGCAGGCGCGTTGGAGAATACGTAGCACATCAGGGTGCATCCACACATTATTAAAGGTCAAAGGGATTTAAAGCAGTGCAATCATTTTGAAATTTTTATCATTTACTTATTATGCTTCATTAAGTAGTTATACAAAATTTTATTAAAATAAAACCATTTAAACTGGGTGTTCGGATTTATATGTAACTTAGTATATATTATTAATTTTTATGATCGGTTCTGCACATACTTAACCTGTATTTGAATTACGTTACACTGATGACGAACAATAAACTAGAAACACGTGTCCGTATCATTTTTACAGGTAAAATTACAGTTTCTGGAAAGGGCATTGCAGCCTGTTCTATTGACTTACCTCGTACTCAATGAATCCTAAATATACTAACATAATTTTTTAATAAAGATGTTCATTATGTACGTCCTACATTTCATTGCCACATTTAACACTCCTCACTTAAAAGTATAATCCAGATTTGTGAACAACAGGTCTGAATACGGTCCTGAAGTTCATTATTGCCAACGTTACAAATTAATAAAGGATGTCGTTTTTGTGACCAGCTGTTCACAGTAGACGTCAAAATGTCATAGATAGTCGTGAATAATACCGTAGTTAATCTATAGTATAATATGGTGTTTACGTCAACATTTAGATTCATTGCACACGCAAAGCCAATCAAATTGTTAAACAAACATATCGGCGTAAATTATTTTCTTTTAGAAGGATATTCAAGTAGCCAATGTACAGCAGAATAGAAATACTATGCGATTATGAATTATTCAGTTATTTTTGAAACCGCGGCTGCTATGAGGATTCCAAAGAAATTTTGTTGATCCGATTTTTGAACTGCCTAAGGTTAGTATGACTGGGAAGAGCTTCCTCTTGTAGATTGTTCCACAATCGACACCCTAGAGACAAAATAGATACGGTTAGGATGGGAGACCGAAGTCAGGCGGGTCTGCCTGGCAGGCACATCGCGCGGCGACATCATGGAGGAGAGCTATGAGGAGCAAAGCCCGTTAGCGTAGCGTTAGAAGATTTGCTCCTCCATGATGCGCTAAGTGCCTGCCAGACAAACCCGCCTGACTTCGGCTTCGCATCCTAACTGGCCGATACGACCGCTCCTTTCAACCTAGGGTGACGAGATTATGGAACAATCTACAAGAGGAGGTTTTTCCCAGTTCTACAGATCTTAGGCAGTTCAAAAATCGGATTATCAACGTTTCTTTGGGATCCCCATAACAGCCGCTGTGTCATGGCATTCAGGCTTCTGTCTCCGCGGGCGATTCGGTTTAAAACAAGGTGTATAAGAAATATTCGCATCCCGTGTTCCGTAAAAAAGTTAAACTTCTATTAATTTCATCAACCGTTTGATCGCGCATGTAACATGAATTATTTTCATATACATATATCATTTCAGCTAGGTGTATTTTCTTAAAATAACCATTGGTTTGTGATTTTCTTATTTTAGAAATTCCTGTAATTGCTAACGTACCACTTAACGCATGTTGCCGACTGGTTGGTTAAGCGTCAGAGTAGCAAATACTAAACTTCACCAGTCAGTCTGCTGCAACTTTGGAATTCTGTTAATAAAGACGTCTATTGTTATTATTATTAAAATGAATTCATGATCTTCGTGGATTTTTTGACGCAATTAGGACTTGTTCGGATTTTTAGAAAGTTGGACGTCAAGCTCTATGGCGCCAACCTTGTTTTCTTTTCCATTATGTTGAACAAGTTTTCAATTTAAATATAGAACTTTGATAGAACTACAGTATTCATCAATGTGGTTTAAATTTATAAGATTTCAAAACCACAATACATATAAAAACTTAAATGTTTCTAGCAAGGATTTATGTGTTTGGCAACACAGTACTATCAGATAATTCATAAATTTGTTGATTGGTGTAAACACTACAAAACATAATCAGTATGTCGTTGAAGAAATCTGAATGAATTCGTGAGGAAATTGTTGATATAAAACGGGTATTAGAAATAAATACTTTGTGTAATGCAAAAAGAAAAAAATAGTAGACCTCGTATTTTACTCTTTAGGACTTAGAAGAAAGATCAGAAGAGTCCCTAAAAAGAATCCTAGATGCCTTGGATGTGAAGCTAGTACCACTTGTATTACAGGAAGAGCCTTTCATTGTCTCGTTGAGTGTAACAATAGACACTCCGTTAACAGTGATTGGAATAGGTGACACCCTTGAGAAGGCTCGTGTAAAGGCAATACAAGATTTGTTTACAATTATAGATTATTTTATGAGGTTATAATGTTCTTAACCATTATAAGGCAGGCCTAAAACCTCGCGTTCGTGGGAGACATTTTCCAACTCATAATAATCACATTGTTTGTGACACTAACGTTTCCAAGTATATACATAGTACATAGACGAACATAACGAATTCTTATAGATGATGATGTTATAATTTAAAACCAGTCAGCTTTTTATATTCAATGTTTCAAAAAGCCTAAAGAATTGTATTTTGTCTACAAAACTTGGTAACATATTCGCTCCGGGTGAAGAGGTGTCCAACAAACGTAATTATGAAAAAATCTTGCTGGCAAAATGTTCCCATAAATGTGAAGTGCTTGCCTTTTCTTAAGGATTTGTTGTTAAGAGCATGTTTTTTGTTTTTTTTTTTTCATTTATAAATATCGTTTAATACCGATTGAAATTTGCGAAGGGAATTGAATTCCCTATGAGAATTATTGTTTTTTTTCCAAGTTTGTAATTTGTAATTTTTCTCTATGAGCATTATCATAGAATACTTTTATTGTACCTTTAACTAGGTTTGGCAGAGTAGCTACAGAATCATATTTTTATAGTTTGGGTTGAGTTTTTGCAAAATTTTGTTGCTCCTAGGTTTATTCATTCATTCGTTTTTTCATTACATGAAATTTGAAAATATGTTTCTGTATTTTACTGTTGTGTAAGAATCGTTGACTATTGTATTTGTGATATTAGGTAATAATAAATACTCTTTACAGGAGACGCATTTTTTTGCTTTAATTTCAATGAACTTTAAATATAAAAAACAATTCCTATATACCTGTCCTATAATGACTGTCACATCCTGAATATGTTGAAAGTTGTTGCTTTATAAAATGTGTTTCATTTCATAAAGAATAAATAAAAATATAAAATATGTTTAATTTATATTTGAAATTGTCAAGATACATATGGCGGAATTGTATAATTCCAAGTCAAAAAAAAACTTCAAAATCTGTCTGATAATCTGCCAGACCAAGCCTGGCAATCTTTGAGCTCAATAATAATCGTATAAACAAAGTCCTGCTTGTCGTTTGAAAATATCCTTGAAATTTGGCACATTTCATCTTTCACAAATTTTTCTTCCATGACCAAAGATTGTCAACAATGTGTCTTCATATGTGCTGAAAGCGAACCTGTCTGTGAAAACGTTTTTTCGCAGATATTGCATTTGTAGGGTTTTTCGCCTGTGTGAATTCTGGTATGGATTCTTAATGCAGCAGCTTTGTAGAATCTTTTGCAGCAGTATAAACACAAATAATCCTTTTCTCCTGGAACAAAAAAATAGTATCAAGTAGATTAACGCATTACTTCTCATGCATTCATATAATCTCCCAATATGTACATCAGGATTCGGTTTTTAAATAAAAGCAACAATTTTGGATATGAATCATGTTTTTTTTTTATATTTTCAAAGCGTAGAAAGTTTTATGAATAATGTCCGCCAAATGCCACTGGATGAAAATTCCTCGACTGGAACTTTCTGCACAAGTACGGCTCAATTTTACTAGTATCATGAGAAATATTTTGATACAGACCATCAATCGTGTTTGCAGATTGTTTAAATAGATCTTATTCTTGAAGAATCCCATAAGAATGTCAAGCAGGGTTAAATTGGATATCTCAAAAGTCAGCGGCAATCAAAACGTCCCTACTGCTCTAGCTTTTTGAATGAACGTGCATATTAGCCAATTGGTTTCACGAAAAGCTCATATTTATGGCAATACCGTGAAATTTAGCACAATTTTCATGAAACACTGATTGTGAATTTTCCTAGTACATTTGCACAATTATGATGCATTCCTCCATCGCAAACTGATCCATAATTATATTTAGAAATCTACTTTAGTTAGATTGTTTAATTCTGTTACTGTCTCGTAGATGGTAGATATGATCTTGGCGCCTCTCTAATGACTCATTTATTTGTGCACAGCCAGGCATTGATTAGCATATTCCACTTGAAGATGCCCAATCAAAATAGGCATTAGAACGGTACCAAAACGAGGTTTGAATATCCTGGCGACATCTATGGTACAGTAGTAGAACATGAAAATGAATTTAGAAATGTACTGTAAAAAGAGTTTGGTTCTGCTAGTCTCATAGATGGCGCTAGAATCTTACAGGCCTTTTTTTTGGGCGCCGAAATACAGTATATACTTGGCTACCTTCGGGTAGAATACTTTAATCCCACATTCCTACCATTATTATGAATGAGAAAGTGTGGATGTGGCTTATATACAGGGTGTAAAGTTAGTAGTGGATCAACGAAAGTCAGGTGATCAAGGGCCTCAAAACATATCGAATGAACCCCTATATGTGTGGTCCGAAATTTTATAGTTCAGCAGATACTTGCAATTTTGTGAAATTTCGAAAAAAAAACGGGATAATGAACTTTCAATCGCAATTACAACTAAACCACTACGTTTAGGGCTGCGACTTTTTTTGAGATGAGCTAAACGGATCCAGAGGTGGCGGGACTGCTGGCGAATGTTCTTGTGATATTGTGACAACGGGAAAACGGGTAGAAGGTTTACCGACTATTGAGAATTGAAGAACGGGGAGACAATTTTCTGCATATTTACCTTTCCTCAGTGAAACCTTTGGGGGGGGGGGTTGCTCTCTCTCTCTCTCTCCCGCACGGCTATCACGTATCTTGAAAAGTGACATTATGCCGATTTTTTTTGACATTATGCTGGTTTGTTTTTTGACATTATGTAGGTTATTCGACAAGATGTTAACTTAGCACTTAGTTGTACGTGTTGCATAAACGTCATGAGGCTTGGTATCAATCTTTGGCTCTGAAGTGATGTAAAATCTGCTTCTGAGATGGCATTACTGGAGGTCTAAGCTGTAAGTTGTATGTGTAGATGATAATTACATTGAGTTCTTGTCTCAAATTCACTTAATTGAGATTCGAAGCTAGAAATTAGTTGCGCATCCACTTTTTCTTACCAATTCTGGAGATTACATATACATATTTGCTGAATTTAAAAAATGAGAGAGGTAAGAATAATTATATCCACTGTACACTGTCGAATTACAAGCCATATACATGCTAACAGTAATTACACACAACGCGGGCGCGGTGATGATTTCCCGTAATTCTCCTCAGTTTTTCGTAATTTATAACTTTGAACATAACCTCTGTTCAGAAAGCACAACATATAAATAACCTGTCATATTCGGCATATTCAGTAATGATTTTCTCACACAGCAAATATCACTGATATTATACACATAATGATCCAGATGCGATCTTGCTATTCAACCAACTTTCTTCTCAGAGATAAAAACTACAGACACAGCCTCACAAAACTATGCAACCAATAATGCGTAGTTTGGTTGAGTGATTCCTCCATAGATGGACGTTCATAACGATCCTAGTGAGCAAACGTGGAATGACTGTTTGCGCCCTAAAAACTTTTTTGGGGGTCAAGGGGGTGTGGGTAATTAATTAAAAATGCAACACCGATTAGGAGTGCTGTAATTTTGAGCATACTTTTACAAGTTTTAGGTCTTCTGATAAATAGAAAGTGATTAAAATTTTAACTCGAAATTTCGCAAAATAGCTGAGATATCCCACCTTAATGTTAATAATGTGATGAAGCTCCACATTCGTTAAGTCGTCGCGCATTGATTGGATTAGGTTTTCTTGGTGTATTGTATCCCAGGATATCTGAATTTGATTTCGTAGAGCATCCAATGTTTGTGGATAGTGCGGAGAATTTTGCAACCTTCGTCCCGTTATGTCCCATACATGTTCGATGAGGGAAAGGTCTGGAGATCGAGGAGGCCACTGAAGCAGATTTACTCCGCATGCTTCTAAAAAGTCTAAGCTAATACGTGAGACATGAGGTCGTGTATTGTCCTGATGAAAAAATGGATCATGCAATGTTTCCAAAAAGGGAAGCAGGTGTGGTTGTAAAACTTCGTGGGTATAGCGCTGGGCAGACATGCTACCTGCTGCCGTAAGCAATGGCACCCCATACCATAACACCCACAGTGCAATGAATATGCCGTTCGATGGAATATTGGACGTCTCTCACCACGCCTTCTCCTTGTTCTTGCTTAGACAGAATCTGAACTCATCGTTGAACTCGACTGAGTTCCATTCCATATTCCATTCAAGTCTCTCCCTACTCCATGTGGGGTCAGATGTAGTACAAGATGGGGTCGGTATGAAGACAATCCAAAATACCTTATTCGGCGATAAACGATCTCTAAATGCTAGTTGCCTCAAATAAAGATCATGTCGCCCTGTAGTCTGTCTCTTACGTCCAGTACCTCTAACTCGTCGATTTCGGCCTCGACAACATCTCGTTACTGTAGCTTCGTTTCGATTCACCCGATTAACGATTTCTCTAAAAGAAAATCCAGCTCCACGTAACCCGATTATCCGACCCCTCTCAAACTGGGAAAGACGAGTGAAATTAGCGCGTCTGCGAACTCTAAGCATGATAATGCAATGAAACAACAATGAATCAAATGGAACCAACACAGAAAAATCACTGAATACACTGGTCAACAAAATTTTAACTTTGTCGTGCCACACGGACTTTTTTGATATTTTTCACTTTAATCGGTGATTGTAAGAAAAAATAAACAGTTAAAAGAATTTGCTAGACAAGGATTTTATTCTATTGAGTAATTTAAAATATTAAGAAAAAACACAGATCTCGTAAATCAAGTTATTTTTTTTATAAATGACTTAATAATCTAAGATTTTCTTGAATATTTAGCTTCTGGTTGGTCCCTTTTAATTGTCCAGCAGTAATCTGCTAACATATTTGGGCTCCATTTGCCCTGGTACCGCTTTTCCATATTAGAAATGTCCTGATGGAACCTCTCACCGTGCACGTCGCTAAATTGTCAGGAAAAAAATCCAGGTGCGAGTCTAAAAAATGGATCTTAAGTGACATGTTGCAACCCAATGCTTGATATGACAATAATAGCTCGCTAACCAACTCTCTGTAGCTGTCACTCTTGTGGTTACCCAAAAAATTTGAAACAACATTTTTAAAAGCCTTCCATGCAGATGTTTCTAAATCGCTTAATTTTTCTTCAAATCTTGAATCTTTTATCATCTCCTCAATTTGAGGGCCAACAAAAATACCCTCTTTTATCTTTGCATCACTTATTTTAGGGAATTTTTCTTTTAGATACAAAAATCCACTCCCATTGCTATCCATTGCCTTCACAAATTTTTTTATTAATCCTAATTTGATATGTAATGGTGGTAGAAGCACATTATTTGGCTGTACAAGGGGTAAATACTTTACTTTTTTTTGCTCAGGAACTAACGATGCACGCGTAGGCCATGTTTTTTTTATATAGTGATATAGATAGCTGTCCCATTCACATAAAAAGCAGCAAAACTTTGTATAACCCAGCTGAAGTCCAAGTAATAGTGCAACAACTTTAAGATCACCGCAGATTTTGAAGGAATATGTACTGTAATTTATTTTTTCAAGTAAAAGTTTCATATTTTCATAGGTTTCTTTCATATTTGCAGCATGGGCCAGAGGTACAGACGGAAGCTTATTTCCATTATGCAATAACACTGCTTTTAGACTTGCTTTCGAAGAATCAATGAATAAACGCCACTGAGAGAGATCAAAATCTATGTCCAACATTTTCATAATCTCATTTATGTTATTGCAAAACACCAAATCTCCATCCTGAGAAAAATACGTTCTGAAGTGTTGGTCATAGTTTCGAAAATAGCTAACTTTTGTATTATGATGTAGCAAATTCCATTCTTTTAGACGTGATCCTAATAGTTCTGACTGCTTTTTTGACAAATTTAAATCCCGAACCAAATCATTTAGGTCTCCTTGAGTTATCAAATGTGGCTCGTTTACAATTCCTTTTAACTCAAAGTCATCGTCCTCGTCAACACATTCACCTGAAGTGGACGGTTGTGAATTGTTCTCAACAGACGTAGTTGCAAATGGTATTAGTTCTGGCAATTTTTTATAATGAGAGACTGGTCTTATAGCCGAAGATAAGTTAGGGTAAATAACTGTGGTTTTTTTCTTGTAATTTATACCTTTTATGTCTGTGAGACAAAAATAGCAATCTGAAACGTGATCTCGCTGTTCAGTCCATATCATGGGTACAGCAAACGGCATAGGTCGTGCACCTTTCTTCCAGTCAGTTAAATTTTTCACACACGTTATGCAACAGACATGAGCGGCCCAGGATTTGTCTTGATGGGCGACAGAAAAACCAAAACATCGGTGATAACACTCCAACACAAGATTCGTAAAATTTCGTCGTTGTTTTTTGAATGTTAGTTCTCCGCAGACATAACAAAAAGAGTTATGATCATTATTACACTTCCTCGACATATTCACACGGTTAATAAATCACAAAAAAGTGTTCAAATTCAACAACAAATATTTTTATAAGGATTTACTTGTAAGCGTTTCTGTTAATTTACTGCCGTAGTACTAGTTATGAGTATTACCGTATCACAACAAATATGAGGCTAATAGACATATGACAGCTGTCATGTAATAATGAGGGTAGACTGTTGAAACAAAATTAGCTGTCAAAGTTCGTGTGGCAAAACCAGTGTTGACCAGTGATATTAGTTCATATTGTTCGGATCCTGATATGACAAAAGAAGCCTTTAAAAAAAGTACGGCTCGGAATGCCTTCAACATTTGATCAGCGTATACTTCGATGATAGCAAGTATGTTTCCAAGTTTTTATCAAATTCCAATAAATAATTCTGGGTGTTGCATTTCATATATCACTTACAATATATCGAAAAGTGAACTGAAAATGTGATTGTGCTCTTATAATTTCAAGTGCGCAAATATATAGGACCAGCGTTAATTACTCGTAGAAGCAATAAGGGCAAGTTACAACGATTAAAAACTCTGGTCACTGTTTTTCTCTAGGTATACGGAAATTTGATCATATAAACCGTGTGTACACAGAGAATGGTAAAATGAACATGGAAAATCTCTGAAAATACCAAAGTTTATGTTTAGTTCATAAACTTCTAGTGAATAATAAGAATGTATTTTAAATACACTCAAAAAATTTGAAACTACCAATAATTTGGCCTCCAAAAATCTACAATTACTTGTTATACCTAAACACTTTACGTCTCTCTACAGAAAGAGCTTCTCTTATACTGCTGCCAAGTTATGCAATAATTTTACATTTTAATTATACTCTGAGTAATTTTAAAAAGAAGCTGAAATCGTGGTTACTCAGCAGCACATAGCAATAGATTCATCGTAGGTATAAAAGTTAGAAGTTGAATTTGACAGAATGTGGATGTTAAAACTGATGAAATTTAGTTGCAGCTTATAGTAAATATCATTTGTCGTGATATTTGGACAGGGCAAGTTTTTTTGGTAATCCATCGTGATACTTTCGCACGTTTTGGGGTAAGTTCTCTTTAGACTGTAAAATCGCTCACTCCTTTTTTGATGTAGTGTCTTCTCAAGTATCTTTTTCTCCAAATTATTACTTGCTAATTGCCTAGTTTGTTCCGTGTGGGAATTTAAGGTAGCGGTGAAGATATATCAGCTTTTAAGGAATCACACGTACTACAAGTTTCTTTTCGATAACCTAACGATATATTGAAGTTGTTTTCAAAGATTTCTCGGAAGGATTCATTGGAAATCTTGTTATCAACATTGCCAATAGAATACATTTTGTGTAATTTTGCGATATTTAGATTTTCAGGTAGGTACAGCCGATGCAACACCGCCTTTCCATATGGACTGATGCCGTTTTTCCATACACGCGCAGAGACTCATGCCATTCATCCCCGGCACAGGAAATCTAATAGCTGTTGTTTTGTGAACCTAAGCCCATTTTACAATTAAGAAGCTGATTACAAGATAGCATCCGGAAAATGCCACCAAAATAAACTGAAAGCTAATGGACTAATGCTGCTTTTCCCCAGTACCCTTCATCTACTTTTACTAAAAACAAGTCTATAACAATAGATCGCTAAACACATTTTTATTCGTTTTTGAGCCGTCTAAAAAGGTTAATTTTAAATTAACTAAATATTAGGATGTGCGGTTGAGTTGAAAAATACCATCACGGTAAAACTCCACCGATTCGATTCTCAAAATTTTAATGCTATTGTTGTATGTTGGATGTATAATTTAAAGGAATCTAATAAATGCATTATTTATTATTATTTATGTCTGATTCTATTGTTCATTTAATCACAATGAATAGAGAAAACTAAGAGTAAAAAATAGCATTATAAGAGATGAGTATCAACCTGCAATATTTACTCACGAGAATGAGTCTTTATGTGATTCTTGAGATCATCACTCCTTGAAAACGCCTTGTTGCACTGCTGGCATTGATAAGGCTTCTCGCCAGTGTGTATTCTCTGGTGTTTTTTCAAATGGCTGGAACTGGCCCAGCCTCTTCCGCAAGTGTTGCATACGTATGGTTTTTCGCCACTGTGAATGCGCTGGTGGACAGTCAGACGAGACGGATCTGGGAATGCTTTACCGCAAGTATTGCAGAGATAGGGTCGTTCGCCTGAAAAATATGTAGTCAAGTAGGTATCCAGTGCGTATGCTAAAAGGGGGCGGGGGGCACAGGCCATAGTGTGTCATTAAACATTAACATTGCAAGAAACCTAGTAACAATACCTATTAGGCGCAAAAAAGCATATATTAAATTCCAGCTAAGAAAAATCAACAGCTCACGGAAATGATGGAAAGCTATAAAGGAGCTAGTGATTCATCTCTTTGAGGTTAAGGATAATCAGTGTACTTTGCAACCTATAAATAACTGTTTTGTTGATTATGTTCCGGATAATTCAATAAACGGAAACACCAGCATGCTACCAAATACCAATGACCGATTTTAGTTTAAGTTTGCTACCTAGGAAAAAGACATTCCAAAAAATAAAGTCCCATGATACCGGGCTAGATGGATTAAATACAGATATATTTTCCTTTATTCTTACTTTTTGCCTCAAGGCTCGCTCATATTATAAACTTTTCTTTGGAACTTGGTGTAGTACCACTTATATGGAAAGTAGCAACTGTTATTCCCGTTGGTAAAATCGATAATCCCCAACTGCCTTGCGATAGGCCTATAAGCATACTTTCACCCTTGTCGAAAATTCTAGAAAAGATTGTTTATGAACAAATGCTAACACATTTCAACAAGTACAATTTAATTCCGGATACGCAGTCGGGGTTTGGAAAAAATCATAGTACTATGACTGCATTCGTTGACATTTGTAATGACTACTTGAGAGCTATAGATAATTCCTGTGTAACTACAACTGTTTTGCTAGAATTGAGAAAGGCATTTGATTGTTTACACTACAAAATGTTATTAGCTAAGTGGCAATTCCTTGGTTTTTATGAGAACTCGATTATATGGTTTGAGAATTACCTCTCAGATCGATCTCAACAAGTTAAAATAGACAGTGACTATTCTGACAAACAAGCCATTGTGAAGAGGCTGCCCCACAAGGTTCCATTTTAAGATCGATTTTGTTTACCTTATCGTGTCGGCCTTGGACGCAGCTTTATCTATCTTACGATCCCTCCTCAAAAGTTGCTGCTAATGAAAAACTAGCAATAGATTTAAGCGGTGTTACACGTAAACTGTAGCAAATCGGCCCATAATTTCCTCCCATTCTAAGCAGAACCATTTCAGTGATGATAATAATGAAGAGCTCGCACACAAAAAAACATCGGTGAAAATCTTGGGAATAATTTTTGATGAGCACTTACTAAGCTTGTTTTCATGATCAAATTACTAAGCTTGTTCAAAGCTCTTTTGCTAAACCGAAAAGCATCTACAGCTTTAAGCATGTTTAATTTTAAGAAACTAAGATTAAGATGGGACTTTGGTACTTCTTTAACTCAAACCAAAGCTTATAGAATTCAGAAGATACAGAACAGATTATTATACAAGAAGTTAGTTGGTTGACGATGAGTCAGTGGTGGATGTCGTGACCAAACACATAGTATATTATTTTTTCAGTCGAAATTAACATTTACCCTATTTTTATTCTGCTTCTTTTTTTAAGACAACTATTGTTCTCAATTTACACATCCCATTTTTACTTTGTTTAACTGTCAAGGAACTATATTTTTTTGTAAATTTTAGCACCTTGTGAATGCATTCTAGGTTTATTTTCACATTGTTTATTTTTTTTCTAAATGCATAAATTTTTGAATTGTAATTTTGTTTGGCTTTGGCTAGAATGAAAGCAGCTTTCAGCTGACACCGGGTATATTAAATAAAGGCTATTATTATTATTATTATTATTATTATTATTTAAATAAACAGCTCAAAAAACTCTTAGCAAACTCAGAATTTTAAAGCATTGAAAATAGCCGTTTTTACAGTGTTTTTAAACTGTATCACTTATAACTCCAAGACAGTAAATTTTACAAAAAAGGTACTGATGACATCTTTTGTTCAGAATAACGAAAAAAAACTACAAAAGAGCGGAAAAAAATATTTTTGGCAATTTGCTCGTAGCTAAAACACTATTTTTTTATTTGTCTGAATAAACTATATATTATTTGACCTGGGTTACCGACGTGCAAAAATCGATTTGGAAAAATTTTCTCATGAATGCGGTATATTCGTCTTCTCTACATTAAATTTGCACCAAATATCTGGCTGTGTTAATGAAACCCGAAGAAGGCTTTGAAAAAAATAGTATTTTGTGGTCTGTGTTTCTCTGGTCAATTTAAGTTTTATAAAGTAGCAGATATTTATTTTTCCTTTATAACCATTTTTATGTCTATCTAATTCAGATTTCAACTTTGTATCATGCCTGGTTTGCTAAAATTTGAATTTGCGTAAGTTCTATAAATCTTAACCGAATGCAACATTTATTTTACCTTACCTGTATGTGTTCTCTTGTGAATTTTGAGATTGCTAGAAGTTGTGAATGCTTTATTACAAAATGGACAAATATGATCCTTCACACCTGTGTGGATTTTCATATGGAGGGCTAAGGAACCTGCTCCACATAATCTGAAAAAAATAATTCTATCAAAAAATGTTTATCTTCAAAAAAAATTTAATCAGACAAGCATTATACCAATATCTAGGAAATAGAACAGGATTATTTTTGATTTCCACTGATTCCTGAGAGGTAAACGTTTATCTCATACCTTTCTCCACAAACACTGCATAGGTGACTTTTTGTGCCACTGTGCGTTTTATGATGAGCCAGTAAACTTGTATATCTAGAATATGCTTTTCCGCATATAGAACAGACAAATGTTTTTTCATTAGCATGCGCTCTTGTATGTTCTAACAACCTAAAAAAGAAGAAGGGAATAAGTAAAACGCTTTGTATGCATAAAAATGCTAGATCTGATACTCAAGTCGCATGTTACAAAGCAGACGTAATAATAATAATCTATATTCCAAATTGTACAATGACATTACAAAAATTGTATAGCCACTACAAAATGAAATGTTGCGTCACTATCACCATAACTATAGTAGTTTACCTGAGACCTTTTTTGTGTTACATGGTTATTTATCTTAAAACAGCTACAATCTTAAACTATTACAACTCCCATAGAACTCATCTATAGTATACTAAGTGACATATAAATCCGAACACCCAGTTTAAATGGTTTTATTTTAATAAAAAGTTGGTGAATGTATTTATCTTACTGTAAATAACAAGTGACAAAATTTTCAGCCTTATCAGTTGGACATTCCGGTTTTTATACTGCTTTTTTTTAATTCACTTATGCTCTAAAAATGAATATTTCAGCCGCAGTAAAGAATCAACGTTGGCGGATTTTGGTTCTTGACATCCTTTACGATCGGTTACGATGCCTAGAGTACGGAGACCTGTACGATTTCGTCAACTTAGTGAGTTTGATAGGGGCCGTATAGTGGGACTTCGGGAAGCTGGACTTTCTTTTCGGGCAATTGCAGTTAGAGTGCAAAGAAGTGTAGACACTGTGGTTAGGTGTTGTCAGGCATGGCTTCGAGAAGGCCGTATGCAAAGAGCAAGGGGCACTGGACGTCGCCGTAGAACAACAGACCGTGAAGATCGCCGCCTAAGATTATTCGCCTTAAGTGACCGTTTCTCCACTACCAGGTCCATTGCAAATGAATGGTTTGCAGAACACGGAAGACCTATTGGCATGCGAAGTGTTTACCGACGAATGAGAAGTTTTGGCTTGTTTTCATACCGGCCACACTGGGTCCTCCCTTTAACTCGAGAACACCGACGTAATCGCCTTGAGTGGTGCAGACAACGGTCACTCTGGGATCAGGAATGGAACAGTATTGTCTTTAGTGACGAGTCTCGATTTTGTTTAGGCATGCACGATGGTCGTGCCAGGGTTAGAAGGCGACGTGGTGAAAGGAGGAATCCACAGTTTTTTGTTGAGAGACATGTTCATCACACTGTTGGAGTTATGGTTTGGGGTGCTATAGCTTATGGTTCCAGGTCACCTTTAATCTTCATCAGAGGTAACATGAACGCGCAGCTTATATCCACGAAGTTCTAGAACCCCATCTTTTACCCTATCTTGACACCCTGGCAGATCCAACTTTCCAACAAGATAATGCCCGACCACATGTTGCAAGAGTCACAATAGACTTCTTTCAACATAATGATGTCACATTGTTACCATGGCCACCAAGATCTCCCGACTTATCCCCAATTGAGCACGTGTGGGATATGATGGGTAGGAGATTGCTCAATTTGCAACGTCCTCCTCAGACTCTAGAAGCACTTCGAGAGGAGTTGGTGGTTGCCTGGAATGAGATACCACAGGAGGACATTGACCACCTGATCAGAAGCATGCCTAGGCGCGTTGGAGAATGCGTAGCACATTAGGGTGCATCCACACATTATTAAAGGTCAAAGGGCTTTAAAGCAGTGCAATCATTTTGAAATTTTTATCATTTACTTATTATGCTTCATTAAGTACTTATACAAAATTTTATTAAAATAAAACCATTTAAACTGGGTGTTCGGATTTATATGTCACTTAGTATATCAGGCTCAGACTGTACTAGGAATTGCTTGAAAGTCTTTTTAAATTTATGTAAACTGTTTATGTTTTTAATTTCATTTGGTAGGTTATTGAACAATTTTAAACACATGTAAATAGGGCTTTTTTCTGTGGAGGGATAATCTGTGTATCGGATAAGTAACATTGACTGTTCGAGTATCATAAACAGTTTGCACCTCAAGCTCAAATAAATTTTTATTTTTGAAAAAAATATAAGACACTCATACACATAGATGGCATACATAGTCATGATTTTTTCAGTTTTAAACACCCTTCTGCAAGTTTCATTGAAATTTAGTCCCTTTAGTAGACTCTTTGAACCACAAAATTTTTTTGAATAAACCTATTGCGTCCCCAAAAAATAATCCCATACTTTAGAACACTTTCAAAATTAGCATGGTACAATATTTTCATACTCGTATTATTTAGATATCTTGATATCACCCTAAAACCATAGCAAATGGAATTGAGCCTCTTCGGCAGTTCGAATACATGTTTGTGTTGTTCAATCTAAAAATTCGTCAATATAGATGCCTAAGAATTTTACACTTTCACTCAACTGCAGTTGATGATCATCTATATCGATACATTGTGGCTTAACGACTTTACTCTGCTTAGTTCTAAATGATGTTGCATCAGTTTTGGATTTATTCAGCACTAGTTTGTTCTCAGAAAACCATGTATTCACACTTCTGAATAAGAGATTCCCATTAGCAGTTAGGTCCTCTACACTTGTCCCACCCAACACTAAATTTGTGTGATCAGCATAGCAGATAATTTTATGCTTGCTCTGATCACCACTAGTAACAAAACAGTTTAAAAAAACTACAAACAAAATGGGCCCAAGTATACTACCCTGTGCTATGCCAGTTGAAGTCAACTCAATGTTTGACTTGTAAGTTTGACCTCCTTTAACAATTTCAACTCTCTGTTGTCTTTTATAGAAGTATGACTTGAACAATTTAGCGCAGTTCCTCTTACATCATATTTTTGTAGCTTTAATAACAATATGTCTCTGTTGATGCAATCATAAGCTTTGGTAGAAACCAACCGCTAAGTTTTCCTCCTCTAATTGCTCAAGTGCTGTTTGAACAAATTGAAAGATTGCAGTATCTGTTGATCTCCCATGTAGGCAACCATGCTGATGTGTATTAAATAAATTACAGTCATTCATAAATTCTAATAATCTCTTACTGATGCCTAACTTAAATAATTTTGAAAAACGTTAAAATATTGATTGGCCTATAATTTTCTAATTGCTCTGGATTACCTTTTTTGAAAATTGGTTTTATAACAGCTATTTTCAAATTCTCTGTGAATGATCCTTGTCTAAAAGCATTATTAATAAGTAAGCACAAAACATGTTTTAAAACTGGAATGGAAAGTTTTACTATTGTTGTTGGAACTTCATCTATACCACAGCTGAATTTATTTTTCATCCTCCTCGACAGTTCACACACTTCATCAACAGTCATTGGTCTTAAGTATAATGATTGGTCGTTTTCTTGTAAATTGCAATCAAAAGGTACCTGTGTCACATCTTTCAGTAAATGCGGAATTGCTGATAACATATATTCATTATACTGCTGTGGTATCAGATTTGGATCTCCTTTGATATGAATGTCTTTATGATTGTTTTGACCTGTGATTTCATGACATATCGCTCACATAGATTTACTTTTATTGTCCGAATTTCTGATCGTATCTTTCTGATTTGGCCTTCTGCAACAAATAGTCATATTCTTTTTTTGTGTTCTTGTACATTTCCTTATAATCACCATCTACTCTACATAGGGTCAACAGAATATCCAGTCTATTTTTGCACTCTCTAATCACTTCATTACACTCATGTTTCCTCACACGACTCTTCTCAATAAATCGTTTCAAAGGAAAACACTGATTAAATATACCTATGAAATTATTCATGAATACAAATCCATTGCTCATTTACATTTCCAATATCCTGCATCAGCTCAATCCAATCCTCATTTTTTATACGTTCAAGAAAGTATTGTTTGTTAGCTTCTGAAAAAATTCTTTTATACGTGTAATTTGACGTTGTAACTGAAATTGATTTTCTGAGTAGTGTGATCGGAAATATGAGTGCAAATAACAGATGCACTTTCAATTTCGAAATTTGTGAACATATCTATGCAACTAGCAGTTCTATGCGTTATTCTTGTATTTTCTTTCATTTTTGTTTCCAAATTAAATGAGATCATAAGCGTCAATAAGTTATTTTTGTTTTCATTCTCTATTAACATTTCAGTGTTGAAGTCTCCTGATACACACAAAATATCTGTTTGAAACAAAAATCTCATTTAATATACATGCTAACTTATTAATAAACTTTGAAAAATTACCACTTGGAGGTCGGACACAACTAACACCACAACCATTATATTACCCAATTTACATTCACTCACTGCACATTCAAACACACCTTCCTCTGCCACTTGACATCTGACATTTATACTTCTTTGATGCACACCTTTTCTCACATAAATAGATCTACCTCCAAAGCCATCTTCTCTGCAAAAAGCTGATGACAAACTAAAATTTTTTAGCACTAAGTAGTCTCCAACTGCTTGATGGAATTGCTGATTGATGTAGTTGCTGGTTCCCATTTGCATCCTTTGCATATAAACTTCAAAATTCTACTATTCTTTAGCTGTAGTACACGAACTTCAGATGAGCAGATGCCACTGCACCCCAAGCGAAACACTTTCTTGCATAGGTCACAGGGAAAGGCATCTTTATCTTGGTCAACATCTTTCACACAACCAGTACACTTCAGCCCGAAACCTTCAGCAAAAAATCAATCTACCCGCCTATGGAACTTCAACGAAAACAAGTCAAATATTTGCAACAAAACAAAAAAGACACCACCATCCACTCAGAGGATTAATTAGTGAACGTTTTGCACTCAAAACTGGAACACTGGTACAATTATGTTTGAAATATTCCTCTCATGATAAGACACATTTTGATATAACATCCGTAAAAAATGGCGAACTACAGGAACACGATAATTCCGATATTTTAAGAGCTTGTTTTAACGTTTATGAACACGTAATCCGTCTATTTTCTAAATCTCGTTCGAATAAAAAGAGAAAACGTAGAAAATACACTTAATTTAACAGGTACAGGGTGATTTAGAAAAACGTGGTAATACGTTAAAAAAATAAGAAAAAAAGTTCCCATAAATATAGGTTTCAAAATGCCCCATTACCAATACACAGGGCGTTGTGGATTTCTATACAATGAATAAATACAAAACATGAATACTGTTCAAATAACACTACAGTGAGAAGGGTTATGCACTACATGCAATTTTCAATGTCAAAATTCACTGACATCAGTGTCAAAGTAAAACAGGTTGAAGTTTTTTTACACGGATTGTACCTGAGATTTGTACTTCAATTTCTCTTCAAAGGACTAGTCTGACAAAAAATGTCTCAGGAGGTGCAATCTTGTAAGATTCAATACCATATTGAAATCAAAATTTTCATGTCGCTGATGTAGTCTCAGGCACTAAAATTTCTGAACGTATTAGTATGTACAAAATTTGAAGTCAATATCTTCGCATACTCAGAGGATATAATCTTTCTTTCAATTCGAAAATTAAATACACCACACCCTGGATCTCAATAAGGCGACATTTTAGATCCAAGAGTATAAAAACATTTCGTGTTATTTTTGGCCTTATTTCCAACCCTAGACAGATTGCCATGATTTTCTTCATGCTCATACTCTAACGTATGTCCTACAAGTTGTGGCACAAAACTCATCTGCTTTAATTTTAACAAACAAAAAATAATATCAAGTTGTCTTTGGAAACAAAAGTTTGTTTACTTACTTTACTGTCAGTTGACATTTATTTATTTTGGAGTTTTCGCTTCAAGATGTCGATTCAATTAGAAATAAGAAAAAGTATCTACAATTTGGTTAGGCGGGTAACCAAAGTTGAAATCTGTTGAATATTCCAGAATTAAAACATTTCACGAAGAACCATTTATCGAACAATAGCGGAGTGCGAGCAGGGCCCATGTCTGAATCTCCCAAAAAGTGGAAGACCACGTGCATTTACTGCACAGAGGGCAGAAAAGTTGGTGAGAAGAACAAAAAATCACGTTGGAAAGTCAACAAGGAGACTGGCTCGCCAATACAGATCTTCTAAGAGTACGATATCGTTGGAATTGAGGAGGACTGGTCTTAAATATCAAAAGAGACTGTTATCGTCAGCGTTCTCCTTTTTTGATGCTATGTTTTTTTTAATTGTAGGAAAATTCAGGCTATATAACATATGATATAAATCAAAAGCATGAACAATTTGATGCAAATACGAGGGTGGTCCCAGAAGTACCCGACCCAACGAAGAAAACACAAAATTTTTGTAAAAAAATGTATTTATTTTTCAACATAATCTCCTTTGAGCTCTATACACTTTTCCCAGCGATGTTCAATAGGTTCGATACCCTTTTTATAATAAGAACTGTCTTGCTCCTCAAAGTAGCCATTAACTGCCGACATCACTTCTTCATCGTTGGAAAATCTTTGACCACTGAGCCATTTTTTCAAGTTTGGAAACAGAAAATAATCCGAGGGGGCTAAATCTGGTGAATAGGGTGCATGAGGTAGCAATTCAAACTTTAATTCGTTAATTTTGGCCATTGCAATAACGGATTTGTGAGCTGGTGCATTGTCTTGATGAAACAACAGTTTCTTCTTAACCAAATGCGGCCGTTTTTGCTTGATTTCATCGCTCAAACATTGCAATACGTTCGCATAATACTCGCCGTTGTTAGTTTTACCTTTTTCACGATAGTCAATGAAAATTATCCCACGCGCATCCCAAAAAACCGACGCCTGCAGATGAAACGGTCTTCGCCTTCTTTGGAGCCGGTTGTCCCTTTTGAGTCCATTGTTTTGATTGTTCTTTCGTCTCGGATGTGAAGTGATGGACCCATGTTTCATCCATGGTTATGAAACGACGCAAAATTATGCTTTGTTGCTGTGAAACTTCGCTAAACACTCAATTGAAACATCTTCACGACACTGTTTTTGCTCGATTGTGAGCAATCGCGGCACCCATCTTGCACAGAGCTTTCTCATGTCCGAATTTTCAGATAATATACGATGAACCGCACTTTATGAAATGCCTACTATGTCTGCTAGCTCGCGCACTTTCAGTCGACGATCATTCAGTACCGCTTTGTGAATTTTCTTCACCATTTTTGGAGTCGTCACCTCAATTGGTCGACTACTCCGATGCTCGTCTTGGCAGCTCATACGGCCTCGTTTAAACTCTCCAACCCAAGATTTTACTAATGTAAACGAAGGAGCAGATTCACCCAGAGCAGAATCCAGTTCAGCTTTTATATTGGTTGGGCTGAGGCCTTTGAAATAAAATTGCACTATATAACGATGACCAATTTTTTCCATTTTCACAAATTCACTGAATACGTTCAGTATTGATGGCTGCCAAACAAATACTGAACAACGTGGCGGCTTCAAACTTGACACATACGCTTTATAGGTTGCATACTTTCTAATACATGATATTTTTCAAACAACTATCGCCATCTCTAGGTCAGGCCGGGTACTTCTGGGACCACCCTCGTATATATTTGTAACATAACCTCAAAATAGAGTGCTGACACGAAAAGTAAAAATTTCTGGAAATCACGGAGGCCCACAATTGTAGGAACTACTGACGATACGGCCTTTAAGTGCGCCAAATACTCTCAAGCGCAACTCCTCCGTATACCAAGATGATCTCATCAATTGAGGCGGGTACACTTTGCCAATGGAAAAATCATCAGTTTAGGTGACGAAAAGTATTTGTCTTTGAAGGGAATCAACGGATTTTATACGGACAACGTAGAGCAATGCCCTGACAATGTTAGATATAAACAAAAGTGAAATATGCAGATAAAGTTTGTCTGGTGCGCAATTTCTAAGAGGGGTGAGAGACATTCGAAGAAAGTTGCGTCTGTTAGAGCAGAATGGGCCACTCCACATAATTCAATAGTGTAGTTCATTTAAGTATTGCGTTGTAATTTATGATAACTAATTAGTATTCAAATAAATTTCTTCATTAAAAAAAATCCGATGAATATTTTGCGCCAAAACTTATAGGACATACGTTAGTATGACGTAAAAGACCTTTATTTAGCTACCTGAATGATTGCGAGAACGCCTTATCACACAACTTGCATTGAAAAGGCTTTTCTCCAGTATGTGTCCTAAGATGCCTTTTCAAATCATCAGATCTGGAAAACCTTTTTCCACACTCATTGCATTCATGTTTCTTTGACGGGTCATGAACTTTTGTATGTCTGCACAACGAACTGGCAGATGAGAATTTCTGACTACATACTTTGCAGCTGTAGGTTTTTTTGTGAATTCTCATGTGAATCTAAGATAAAAAAAGATGGAGTTTAATGCGAAAAAAGATATATCAAGATTGGGTCGGTTGAATTTATCAAACAATGCATATTGTGTATCTTTAGGATTTTATAGAAAACCGTTTTTGGGCTTTTGCATTGTGGATAGTAATAGAGAGAGAGACAATACTTGAGAGTATATTATTCTATATTGTGATGAAACTTGAATATGTTTTGTTTTACCTTTAAATCATCATCTTCTGTGAAACATTTTGTACATTCTTCACAGGCATAGATTGATTGGTTTGTCTCATCTTTTAACAGCCCATTATCATTCTTATCAATAGGATCTACACCATTTTCAAATTTCTTTTTTAATTCTTGACTAGCATCATTTGATTCAAAGCCTTCTTCAATATTATCATCTGCACATATTTCATCTGAAACTATAAAAAAAAATTTCATGACCTTGAAAATGCCCATCAACTTCGGAAACAGTTACATTCAAAATCTTGAAATGGACCTTAAAGGTCATTTTCAAGGTCATGGCCATGGCCGCCATTCTTCTATCAAAACCCTGCAACTTTTTTTGCGATTTTTGTATTCAACAGTATTTACTGTGACTTCAGAAACTTTTTGAAGACTCAGTATGTTCCTCTGTAAGCATACATCCAGTATTTATACATCAATAATAGGTCTGTGGAGTTAGCCCAGAAATTTCTGGGCTGTTGAAATTTCGTTTTTCCACCATTGGCTTAAAAAAATTAGAAATTAGCATTCTGGACTAAATTCACGTAGCCCAGACTTTCAGGATTATTTAAAACGATTGTTTCTTCATCGTTTTACCACGTTTTTCCACTAAAAATTTTCATGTTTCCACCTTTAGGATACGAGAAAAACTACATAGAGCACAACATTGATTTGCCACCAAATGTTTCGTGTTTCCACCTTTGAATAACAAAAAAAAGTGAAAAGATTTTTCTGGTCATTGGAGGTTAGCCCAGAAATTTTTGAAGGGAATCACCACGAATTCGTTTCAACCTAAGACTAAGACAGAAATTACTGCCCTTGCAGCATTTCATGAATATTAATTTTTATCAGATCAGTAATACTTATAGGTACTCCAAAATGGATCATCCTTTCATGAAGCATGATCAATGGATAACATAAAATATGGTCCTGAAATTAACTATTGCCAACATTACAGACTAATACAAAGATGTCGCTTTTGTGATCAGCTGTTTACCTCAGTAGACGTCAAAACGTAATGGATACTCGTGAAAAAATAGCATAGGTTATTTTTTCGTAATCTAAAGGTGGAAAAACGAAAAGTTTTGTTTGAAGAAAGTGGCAAAACGATGAAGAAAAGATGTGTATTGATCGTTTTAAATAATCCGAAAAATCTAGGCTATGTGAACTTAGCCCAGGATTTTTAATTTCATTTTTTTTTGAGCTAATGGTGGATAAAACGATGGAAAATCATAAAGCACATCGTTTTTTAACAGCCTAGAATCTTCTGGGCTAACTTCACTACACAGTCAATATATATTACATTACATGATAAATACTGACGAATCACAATAAATACTAATTGTTTGATGATGACCATAGTCACTTCATAACTAAATTATTTTTGGAGATATCAACAATAAAGTTGGTCATATCACAGAAGTGAACCTAAGCCGAATGTGTCACACAATCTGTATTTACTGCCATCCATCAATATTTATCATGGAATATGATATTTATTGATTTTTCAGCCAGGACGTTAGTAATTATCTCTGTTCAAAGTTACAACTGGCAGAATGATCAGGGTTGCATTCATGAGTTGTTACAGGGTTTACTTTGTACAACTCTGTAACAATTTCAGCATTTGTAATTGTTGGACATACCTGTTCCGTGCATTCAGAAATGGAACAAAGTAATCCTTCTGTAACGTGAAAAGAGTATATTGCTTCCCGTGTTCAAAAGGGTGTTCAAAGGGTGAAAAAAATCAACAAACAAAAATAACAAGTTATTTTTTCGAAAAATCATAATTGTATGCACGATTACATATTATGTAATTGTGAATATTTGATTATGTCCTATTTCAATGTTATATGTTACATATACAATATTACTGTATCTTTTTTATATTACATATCTACAGTATATTCAGATAAGAGATAGACCGGATGTAAACAAAAGGTTCGGGTGATTTTCACGCTAACGCCGCCGTCTCGACGTAAAACAGGAGCCCTCATTGGTCAATTCGCAATTAAATGCCTATGCCGAGCGGCAGAGCAGTCGTATCAAGGCAGAGTCACATTCAGGTTCAGACGTGTTACGTATGTCGTGTGCATCATTGCAATTTGATATTTCTTTGGACGTTTTCGTTTGTTATCTTATTAAATTGTTGAGTTTGTCGTTGTTATTGTTATACCTTGTTATTGTTATCAACTGCTTGCGCAAAATGCCCAGTAGTACAGATACTGCCGATGAAGTTGTAAACTCCTGTAGTCCACCTAGGAAACGCTCTAAAAAAGACACCTGAGTGCAGAAATGAAAGAGGTCATTTTGAATATATATAAGATCGAGCGCGAGGAGAACGAGGCATCAACCATCAAAGAAATTGTTGTGAAGGTTTCTCACAAAGTTGGGGTGTGTCGCGCATCAGTGTTTAATGTGTTAGGACAATACAAAAAAAATCACACCTTTTCTGAGCCAATGATCAGTAAACATCACAAAAGTATTGTTAAATCGTTGGATGAAGCTGATAAGCATGCGATTAGGAGGAAAGTGCATGAACTCTTCTTTAGGAATGAAATACCTACTATAGATAAAGTACTGCAGGAGGTAAATGGAGATACAACGTTGCCAAATTTCAAACGATCAACTTTCCATGCGTTACTGAAGCATTTAAATTTCAAATGGAAAAAACGGGGTCGTAATAGTTTACTACTGGATAGAGAAGAAATTGTGCTATGGAGGAGGGATTATTTAACAAAAATTGGGAAATATAGAAATCAAAACAGGAAGATTTATTACCTTGATGAAACGTGGGTAAACGCAGGACACACTACAAGTAAAGTATGGGTTGATGATTCTGTAACTTCATCCAGGTGGGCCTTTCTAGATGGACTGTCCACCAGATTAAAAAATCCAGCAGGTAAATACGAGTAATAGACAACAATCGGATGTTTTTCAAACCTTGGGAACAAGGTTCTAAACATTAATTCCAGGGGGCAGATAAAACATATTACAAGTAATAAAACTTGTATAACTTTCGATAAAATGCGTGGATGTTTTATTGTCATTTTCATTTGTTAGAACTTTTTTAAGCCATGTTTTTATGTGTTTTCGATATTTCAATAATTTTTTAATATAATCTTAAAATATGTCGAATATTATAAACTTAAAAAAAGTTACTAAGTTTTATATTGTGTACCGTTCCTAATATTTCTAATCATTTTAATTCATACTTAGCTTTATAAAGTTATAATTTGTTAATATTAATATTTGCGCGTATTTCAGGTTCCTGATCATTCATTTTTTAGAGGTTTATAACTTTAAATTAAATTGTGAAGCGATGAGTAATCATACGACGTTCAATATTCTTTCTTTCAATATGACTAAATAATCCCAATTATAGCAATCTGATACTCATGTCTCAATGTTTTTTCGCTGAATGTGATGAAAACATTTGAAAAAGGTTCGCTTATTGAAATAAATCTACACCAGTTAGTACTTCGATTTCCAGGTAAAGGGAAAAGGCTCATTATCTGCCATATTGGCAGTGAGGATGGATTTGTTGTTGACGGTCTGTGGTGCTTTGAGTCTAAGAAAACTGGAGATTACCACGAGGAAATGAATGGCGAATCGTTTGAACAGTGGTTTTCAAAAATTTTACCGAACTTAGAGGAAAACGCAGTAATTGTGTTGGATAATGAGCCTTATCATTCTCGAAGAATGGATAAGGTCCCAACAACGGCTTCAAGGAAAGTTGATGTTCAAAATTGGCTCCGCTCGAAAAATATCAACTTTGAAGAAGCAATGCTGAAAGTACAATTATTAAGAATTGTCAAGGATCACAAGGCGGAATATCAAAAATACGCCATTGACGAAATGGCAGCAAGTCAAAATAAAACTGTGCTCCGTTTACCTCCATACCATTGCGAGCTCAATCCCATTGAGCTCATATGGGCAGAGGTTAAAAATTATATAGCTAAGCACAATACAACTTTTAAATTTTGTGACCTCAAAGGACTTTTCAAAGAAGCACTAGAATTAATAACAGCGCAAAAATGGGAAAACTGTATTAAGCACATGAAAGACAAAGTTGAAAAGAGAATGTGGGCACTGGACAATATTTTAGAGGAACAAGTCGAGCCATTCATTATTGATGTTGGTGCTTCAGGCAGTAGCGATGATGGAAGCTCATCAAGCTCATCTTTCCAATAAAAGATGTCGTTCATCAAATTCGGTAAGTTATAAGTAATTATAAAGCTACTGTATTTTTTAATTAATTATTGACATTTTTGAACCCATTTTGGCAAAACCTATTCAAGAATCTACTTTCTGACAATGTTCAACCATGCACATTTTTTCACGTTTTGAACGTTTTAATTTGGTTACATATTTACCTAGAAATCAAAAAATATACTAATCAATATTCTAAAAGCAATTTTAAGAGATATACGATTATTTTTAATTTAGGCTAATTTAAACGCCATTTTGAGATTATATTCGACTGTATTTCACCAAATATCAGGCGGCATCCGAAGCTGGAAATCGAAGCGAAAATTTTGAAACCCTTATGTATATTTACATCATTATATATTTCTTACCCCACCCCCACATGATCCTATATCCATCACCAATCGTATACACATCGAATTGTGCTAATTTACTACAAAGTTACGCAAAGCAGCATCTACTATCTAAAATATGTACTGCGTGACTCTTAATACGTCCCTGCCGAATGTTACAGCGTTCGATGATCACGTGGTCTTGTTTATGTCCGGTCTATCTCTTATCTGAATATACTGTAGAATGTATTTTTAGTTAGTCTAGTCCTTTAATTGAACCACATAAAAATTTACATATTTATTTTTATGGGTTTCTTTTATAGTGTACCTTCAGTTATAAAGTACTAATTTTTTTCTTCCTAGAGGGTATGTTATAACCTGAGTTCACTCTCTCTCTACCTATATAAATAAATGGTCACAGTAAACATGGCTAGAAATTATTGGGCTATCATCAAGTGCTATTACATGACTCTCTAATCTTTTAAGCATTCTGAAACTAAAGTTATACAGTACTCTAGAGTAAAATTTCATCTGTCAATCTACATTTCATTACTGTGTATTACATAGCCAAGTGATTTACAAATGTACCCAGTAAATTTGGATGGTAAAAATCAAAAACCATAGTAATTACTGATTTTGTGACATTTGCCTAAAAAAGACACTTTAAAATAGAAATGTAAATGATTGTTTCCTGGTAAAGTGTGCAGTACATATGGGGATCTTGGACCTAAAACTATTATATTACCTTCATAATTATCAAGTTCTGTGTCTTCTTGTTTATAGTTCAAATCAACTACTTTCCCTAGTTCAATGTTTTGTAAAACAACAATCTGTGGAGTTGATTTATCTTCTGGGACTGATATCAGAGGATCAGAGACTAATAAGGGTCTCTCTGTTAAAGATGATTCTTCTAAAAGGCCCCTAAGAGTTATTTCTGATTGTTCACAGAGCTGCTTGAAGAAGAAGCTCTTGTTGATGGCTACAGCACAGTCAAAACACACTTGGGCTGGTAGACCATCGTCAGATGATATCTGCAAAGTTCGGGAACTTAATTCACCCTCAAATAGACATTCTGGAAGTGGTTTGAAATCTAGGTGCCTTACTTGAACAGAAGCAAAAGCCATAATCATTTCTCCCAGTTTCAAAGATTCTCCAGCTAAAGTATCCAGAGCAAAAATGGATTTTGAAGAAGCGGTACTTTCTGTTAAACAAGTCCTACATATTTTCTTAAACTGTTCAGTCAGACTTGACATTTTTTCATGGATATTGCGTATTTGTTCTCTTATGTCTTTGTAGTTTTTTAGAGTATATTCAAGGAATACAAAATTTAGAGATATATTTTGGTTTAAAATCACTTTCCTTTGATTATCTATGAATCTATGGCATGAATCACAAAATATACACTACTGAAAGAATGCTAACTCAATGTAATTCAATCAGCAACACGAGAATGTCGCCATGTTTTCATGGTGAAAGAACAAATATGACATAGAACGAACGCCTGCTTATTCAGAACAATTCGACGAATGACATATGCCGCCATGTTTCTTACAATGACATACGGCGGTGCTCTCATGGTTGCCTACTTTCTCACCACATCTGTCACTCATTAATCAAATCCAAGCGAATAACCAAAATTTCTGTGTTATGTGCTACGGTTATAATATGGTTAAAGATGACACACGGGTTGATGACGTCAGTTACACGAATCGTTTGAACGCGTTGGTTTTAACCGCGGTTTTGTTGCAAGTTGTTTATTTTAGAAAAGCGCGTATATAATCTCTGATTATTTTTATTATCACTTAATAATCGGTGCTTTTTCGTCTACAACTGTATATGGAAAGTTTAAATAAGAAACCTTTCATAATATTCATGGGAGAAATTTTTTTTCCAGATTTTTTTTTAATGATCTAACCATGGCTTTGTAGCTATGATAACGTCAAAGAAAACATTTATTGATTCAGCAGAAATGATGAAAAAAGAAATTAGCAAAACCGTATACAGGTGGATATCATCTAGTGAGTTTATATGGCCATATTTTAATATTCTTGTGGTATATGGCTACACAGGATACTCTGTTAAGCATAGGAACTACATTTAAAGTGTCCCCAACAACCGTAATGAGTATAACTAATAAGGTGCTCCACTTTATGGTAAAACTGAAGTCAGCCTGTATCATTTTTCTCAAAAATGAAGCTGAAGTACAATAACAATATCCAATACCCGGCAAAATTCTAACTTGTCACATTTCAAATAATAACCAGAAATATAAAACTACTCTTGAGTTGGGTAAATACCACAATTTTGCGGTGATAACTATGACATATAACAGCTGATTCGTGACGTCACGGATCTTATAACCAAACTGATAACTACACTCGCTTGAACGGATTGGTAAATACCAACCCAAAATGGTAAATACTATTTCCATTTGGTTATCCGCTTGAATTTGATTAATGAGTGACAGATGTGGTGAGAAAGTAGGCAACCACGGTAACACCGCCGTATGTCATTGTAAAAAACATGGCGGCATATGTCATTCGTCGAATTGTTTTGAGTAGGCAGGCGTTCCTTCTGTGTCATATTTGTTCTATCACCACGAAAACATGGCGACATTCGTGTTGCTGGTTGAGTTACTCTGAGTTAGCATTCTTTCAGTGTATATGTTTTGAAAGAAAATATTGCGGCTGTATCAATGAACTGGCAACACTGATGGAAGGGGCTCACGGCGAATTCGTTGCGGCTAGAATGAGCGACGAAATTGTGCGAGAAGGATACAGCTAATCCGGGCAGAAAAACGTAAACAAACAGTTGGATGTGTGTGCGTTTTCTATAAGTTTTTGGTGTTTTTTGTTAATGGTGCTATTTTAAAGCAATAACGAAGTTTGAGGTGATTGTTGTAAACATTATTTTTGGACCGTACAAACTTCAAGTGCTTTTGTTTTGTCATTTGTGTTTCTAAAATTGTCGAATCGTGCAGTGCAGTGAACTGTTGTAATAGGCGCAGAAAAGATGTAAAAATGAAGTTTCATAGGTTGGTTGAATCCTCCAATTCATTTTTGTCTGGTAGAATTTTGATTCTTGATTAGTAATTTGAGAAAATATCTGAATTTTTAGGATTCCTACAGATCCTAACATGCGAAAGCTGTGGTTGATCGCAATACGAAGAGTGAACTTTACACCCAGCACATCAACAGTAATTTGTGAAAAACATTTCACACCTGATGATTATGAAGTTAATGTGCATGGAAATAGGGTACTAAAAAAGTCGGCAGTTCCATCTGTTTTTGATTTTCCTGCCCATCTCAAAAAAAAACCTACTGCACAACGAAGGGTATTGAAAAGAAAACGTGAGGAATCATCAAAAGAAACAGGTCTCTTTTGACTAATAAGTCTCAAATTGAGGTTTTAAGTTCTGTACTTCCACAAAAAGAAAAGATACAATGATTAAGTAGGTATAACTTAGTAACCTTATCATTTTTAGATCAAACCTTGGATATTTGTGAAGCAGTAGAAGAACCTGAAAATGACCCTATCAGTGTTGATGGAAATTTATTGGTAGCTGGACCTTCATCAAACTCGGCACTAAACCCAGAACACCTTGAATCAAGTGAACCTTCAAACATTTGCAATCTGCAAGCTGGACCTTCATCAAACTCAGCACAAAACCCAGAACACCTTGAATCAAGTGAACTTTCAAACATGTGCAATCTAAGGTAATTATCATCCAACTCTGTGTTTCTCATTTGTTACTTTTTTTCATTTTCATGTTCAGGAGAGAACCTGTATTCTTTGGAGACTTCAAATTTTCTGATTTAAGTAATTTGCAACGCAGGAAGAGATTCTGGAAAATTACTCATGAGACTGTTTACAAGTACAGAAAAATGATCAAGTACAATAAGTGTACAATACGCAGACAAAAAGATAAAATAAATAGTCTGAATAGTCTAGTGGATCAACTATGTGAAGAGAAGAAAATATCTGCAGCTCAGTCATTAGTACTTAAGGTAGACATTTGATGGAAGGATATTTTCCTTTAAGCTTAAGATGAAAATATATTACAATTGCTACTTAGATTCCACTATTTTTGCTTGTGAAATTTGCATTTTTATTGTTTAACTCTGTAGCATGTCTATTGATTGCTAGCTAGGGTGATCATTCTATCTAACTTTTTTAGCCTGCATGAAATTTTCAGCTTATGCATGTATTTATCTTATTTTTACAGGAAAGTCTTTCAGAAACCCAAAAGCAGCTGCTTTTCAGGCAGCTGAAAAAAGGAAAAACTAACAAATATAGCCCAGAGTTGAGATGTTTTGCACTAACATTAAATTTTTATTCATCATCAGCGTACAACTATGTTAGGAAAATATTTGGAAAAAAAGTTTTACCACATCCACGCACTCTTTCAAAATGGTATAGTGTTGTAGATGGTACACCTGGATATAGCGAAGAAGCAATTCGTGCTATAAAAATTAAGGTGGAAGCTGAAAAAGAAAAGGGAAAATAGCTTGTTGGTGCCCTGATGATGGATGAGATGTATATTCATCAGCATGTATATTGGACTGGGAGTAGAGCAGTAGGCTACATAAATATTGGTGTTACAATGCAAAGTAGTCAGGAGATGCCAAAGGCCACAAAGGCTTTAGTCTTCATGGTTGTTGGCATTAATACTAGATGGAAAGTTCCAATAGCTTATTTCCTAATAGAATCATCATTGGCTGAAGAAAAGGCTACCTTTGTCAGGGGGTGCTTGTTACAATTGGAAAGCACTGGCATATTAATTAAAAGTTTGACTTTTGATGGTGATGCATCAAATATCCTCATGGCAAACTTATTAGGTGCGAATTTAGGTTTTCCATGTAGTCAGCCTTTTTTCATTAATGCCAATAACAATGAGAAAATACATATAATATTGGATGCTTGCCACATGATTAAATTGGTTCGCAATACTCTAGGCGACTATGGCGCTCTAAAAGATGGTGGAGGGAATGACATTAAGTGGGAATATTTCAAACAACTTGTCAACCTACAAGAAGATACAGGTCTGCATTGTGCTACTAAACTTAGGAGGAGGCACCTGAACTACTATAAAGAAAGAATGAGAGTGAAGTTAGCAGTACAAACATTTAGTTCAAGTGTGAGTGACGCGTTAGAGTATTGTGAGAAAGATTTAAACATACCTTCTTTCCAATATGCAGAAGCGACTGCAACATTTTGCAAAAATATTAATAATGTATTCGATCTGCTGAATACAAGAAATTTTCTTGGCAGCACCCAGTTCAAAAAACCTTTATATAAAGGTAGTGAAGAGTTTTTAAGAAATTTTGTACAGACTTCTATTAGCTACTTAAGTACAGTAACAAATTACGAAGGTGTTAATATATTACAGACTAGTAGAAAAACAGGTTTTTTGGGATTGATTATCTGTTTGGTTAGTGTTCAAAATTTATTTGAAGATTTAGTGAAAAGTGGGACTTTAAATTTTTTATTAACGTACAAATTGAGCCAGGATCATTTGGAAATGTTTTTTGCCGCAGTACGTAGGAGAGGGGGTTTTTCCAATAATCCAACAGCATGGCAATTTGAACAAGCCTATAAGAGGTTGCTGATTCACAGCGAAATTGCTTCCTCTGAAAGTGCAAATTGCTTAGCACAAGACAGCACCTCTATTTTGAATGTTACCTCAAAAAAAGTAAAAAATCCTTCTCTCGATGTACTGTATGAATTTGAGGAAGATTTTTCTCCCGATTTACAGGAACAATACATTGTTAATCACAATAAAATTTTAAACTGTGTGTATATTTGTGATGTTGTGGAATATATAGCAGGTTTTGTCAGCAAAAAACTAGATCAGACCCTGAATTGTAACGAATGTGCCAAATCAGTTACAACATCTGATTCTACTTGTAAGCTCCTGAATAGGAAAAATAGAGGAGGTCTAAGCAAGCCTACAAAAGATGTTGTTAAAGTGTGTACGGTTGCAGAAAGTATTATAAAGACGGAGACTAACTTTTCCATTCCGAATATAATGTTGAAGTTGATCTCGGCTGCAATGAGAAATTTAAATTTCAGGGAACTTTTTTTGTGTTTATCGGAGCACTGTCTAGAACAAGACCCACTTGATGGCCATATCATTCAGTTGATCAGATTAATTTTGAAAAATTATTTCACTATTCGCCTTCACCATATAAACTCGACCAAAAATCAAATTACCGACAGAATTAGGCAAAGGTTAACCAAAACAATTCATTTTAGAAATCAATAGTGATGTATTCCAGTCAGGAACAAAAGTAATGCAATACCAACAATTTGAAATTTCATCCATTGATTTCCTTTAGTTAACTTACATAAATCAGCCCTATACCAAAGATATTTGTAAAATAAGTAGGACTACCCACTGGAATCTTCAAGAAAGATTTGTGCGCAGGCTACCTTTTCAATTCCTTTGTCACACTATCAAGTAACATCATATACCGCATTTGGCCGCATAACCATATAAAAGTTTGACTTAATAAAACATATATTTGAAGGAGTTTACACAAGTCCGAGTTT